CATACCTCATATTTTATCCTGTGCTTCTGGTAATTCTTTCCATGAGACAGGCTATGTGTGTTGAACTTGTTATACTCCAACTCTAGCCAAGGTAGCACATAAACACATGAAGATGTTCATAGTTACAAGATCCATTGTGGTATTCATCTTTCAATGGAAAAACCCTACAGATACCTATTTACTTGATTATAGGAAAGCCCTGTAACTAAGGTTTTTCCTTGTGTAATAAAATGCTTGGCCAAATGGTGAGCTTCATGGTAGAAGGAACCTTTTCTAACCTGTCTACTTGGTGCTTAATGTATACTTGTTAACTGTTAGCCACACTGATCAGAATGCTGAATGTTAAGTGAAATAAATCAGACACACAAGCTTAAATATCATATGGTTTGTCTCATATGAGAAACCAAAGTATAAATAAGGAGCACAATAAATATTATTAGATAAAAGGAAACAGAGATTGATCTTTTGCACAAGGGAAGGAGACCAGAAGATGGAGGGAAAGGGGGAGGGAAGAGGGGAAGGGAACTAAAAACAAATTAAGATGTCATGTACATGTACCAAATACTCAGAATGAAAGTAGTAATTATCACAAACATGTACTAATAAATTTTTTTAAATGCTGTATTCCCACTAAAAGCTACACATCTAAAATATCAGACCTCACAGTAGAACTTTAAATTGAGACATGCTAAATCTGACTGATCAACACTGTCCTTGATTTTCTTTTTGCCTATTGTGTTCTCAACAGTGCTGACACACTCATCAGGAACAAAATTGAAATGGACATTTGCAAAAAAGTTTTATTCTATGAAAAGAAGAGTGTCATTGAAATAAGTGCTTTTTAATTAAACAAGTTGCCTTGTTAAAATTTCTAAGCCACTATAGTCCAAAAATTCTTAATGTTTTCTTCAGTCATTACTACATTTGTATTTTGTCCCTCTGCTGTAAAATACATAAATCCAGTTTTACTTTTTGGCTAACATAACATTTTTATTTCTTCCAGAAATCTAAATGTATTGGCCGGAGATATTACAGTCTGGGAAGTACATCACTCAAATACCTAGAGATTAATAATTAACGTAGATATTCACATGTTAGGCTTTTTTTCTTTCTAATAATACAGTTAATCTCTTTTTCCTCTTGGAGTTCCAAACACTGTTAGTTAAATAAATAGCTTGCTTGCATCATTTACTATAACTTTAGAATTCTTATTTTTCTCTAACAAAACAGTTACATATTTTAACATTTTTGCAAAACTAAATTCCTGTACTTACTCCTGAAACTGTATTCACAAAGCCTTGTCTTCTTCTTGCATTAAGGAACAGTAGATTTTTATTCACTGTTGATGTTTACTGCTGTATCTCCTATGATAAATTAATTCCATTGCATATATTAATAAGAATGGGTTGATTTTTGTGTGTACACAGAAGCATGTGTAAGAATGAAAAGAATAAAAGACCTAAGAAAATTTTGAGAAAAATGAAAAAGATTTTATCTGGAATGCTTTTATGTTCCTTTAATTTTGGAGATGACAAAGCTTTTGATGTGTACCTTTGTTAGAAAATATGATATTTTTATCATTAATGTACCATTTGAGACAATCTCAAACTTAGCTTTGAGTAACTTTTAGGATATGAACTTTTCCAGAATAATCTTTAAGTACTTTCGGAATTGGCCTTTCAGTTTACACCTGTTGGCTGGGTATGTAGCTCAGTGGTGCAGTGCTTATCTAGCATGTGTGAAGCCCTGCATTTAATCCTTAGCACGGCAAAACCAATTAAATAAATAAATAAATAAATAAATAAAATTTACAGCTCCCTGATGCTGTATTATTGGGGGTAGTTTGGGATGTAAGTAATTATTTATTTGTGACATTCTACCTCAGGTGGAGCATCCTCAGAGATCTAAAAAGGCTGTATGGCATAAACTACTCTCGAAACAGAGGAAAAGGGCCGTAGTAGCTTGCTTCCGAATGGCTCCCTTGTACAATCTGCCAAGGTCAGAATTTTTAAATGTTTGTAAAGCTAAATGCTCATAATAGATTAAAGTCATTTTTCCTCTAAATTAAATATGTCTAGAATCTATCTTAAATAGCACAATAGTCCAAGACAAGAATGAAGTATATTTATTTGTTCTTCTATGGAATACTTGAGTTTCTCTTTTTTGGATTTTTTTAGAGGGCTGTGGTCTGTAATGTAACTGTTAAATGACTTTTACATACTGAATAATATCTGCTTACATATGTGAGGGAATAGAAAGTGATTAGGAATGCATTCTTTGAAGTGAGACCATCTTGATTTCAATCCAGGAATTTCATCTTCCCCCGTATGCCATTGGTCAACTTACTTACCTGACTTTGTAACAGTTTTCTCACCTAGGCCTTAAAGGGATCTGCCTCATAGAAATACACAGATGATTTAATAGACTAGAGTATTCGGAATATGTACAATGAGCTTATCACAGTAAATATTAGCTGTTATGATTTATACAATTATTAGCATTTGGGGAACTGATACTGTAGACTTATGGGAATAATGTGAATAAATTTGACAGAGTAACCACCTTTTTTTAGAAATGTGGCAGATGTACTTGTCAATAAAGAAGTGACCTGAGTGATCCAAGGTAACATCTTAGCCTTCTGGTGGTTCTGCTGAGAAACTGGGCTTTCCCTCTCTGAATTTTATACAACATGCATCATTCTTATGTCTTGTAAACAGGGCTCAGCTCAGAGATATTTTCTTGGAACATATCTGACCTCCTTGCAAGTCAAATGCTTTATACTATTTGTTTCTCATAAGCTTTTACATTCTTCTAGTTGTAGCAATAGTGGGGCTGTTTGTCTGATTCTGATTTTAAGATGCTTTAGAATCTCATTCCATTTTATGGTTTCAGCACCATGGACAACAAATAGTGCAATGACAATAAATGAACAGATTGTGAGACAGTAAAAAACACAAAATGAAAGCAACCAAACAAAATGTCACATTTTTCCCTTCACTAATGTACTTGGATTCCTTAACACCAAGTCACACTTACTGAGTTAAAATACATTACATAGCTTCTTCCTCAAACCATATGCTACTTCAAAGTTTTCTGATGGTGTCTTTGGTCAGATAGGATATTAGTCTCGAATCTCATATTTTCACTCCTTCTCCAGTTAAGTTATAAGTTCTCCAAATATTACCAATTTTCCTGACCTATTTCGCATCACTGTCCTTCCTTCCTTGGTCATGTTTTGTGTCACTTGTTCCTTACCTCCTATCAAGTGGATGGTAGCAAAAGCTTAGCAGTTTCTGTGATGTCACAGAGTTTGCACTCTTGGCAATATGCCATTTTCAGAATTGCATTCCTTATTCTGATGGTTCTCCAACATGGTCTTTAAGAAATACTGTACACTTAAATGCACTTAGGAAATATCCAGGCCTGAACATAGTGAATTAGTATCTGTGGACCTAGCATGTCTGAGGTTTAAAAGCCACATATTGTAGGTGACACTGAAGTACTAGCAAGGTCAAACATGCTCCTCAGCATTTCTCTTTTATATTGAAGAATTTGTGGTAATTTACAGTGATTCCAGCTGTGTTTTCCATTCTTTATCTTAGGTTTCAAGGCCCTTCACGTACCTACTTATCTATTATATCTCATAAGTCCGCATCACTTTGGCTCAGCTTGCCACCCTGCATTGGCATCATTCTGCCACCTCTGATAGTCTATTATTATGTCCCTTATTGTCATGAAATTCTTTCCTATTTTCTTATATGGAAATCTTACATCTCTCATTAAGATCATGTTGAGTTCCACTGGTTCTGCTATTCTACCCTCATCTTTTATTTCATAGATAACTATTTATTATCAGTATTCCAATCTTGTTTATACACTTCCGAAAAGTTCACTTAGTACACTTTGCCTTGGAATCCTCAGGGCTCATATTTAGTGCTAACTTGAGCATAGACTTTCTCTATTGACATTTATTCCAATGTAACCCTCTTTCTGTAGTAATAGCTGCCATTTAATGAGTAGCTCTCCATTGCACCTTCATCCTTTATCTCATTTTGAGTCTTGTAACACTGAAATATAGGTGGGGTAACCTTAGGGTTAAAAATGAGAAAGAATGGAAGTTGGACAACTTGAATAACCTGACCAATGTCACAAAGCTCAGAAGAGCTGGGATTTAAATCCAAGTCAGTATGTGATCTGAGAAACCTTGCCCTATTTGCTACAAAGCTTTGCCTCTGAAAAGAAGAATCAAGAATATAAAATTTATTTTGATTTTCTTTTTTCAGTGCAGAGATGATCCAATCATAAAGCCCTAATGAATTCCTTTTGATTTTTTAAAAAACTTCTGATTGAACTTTCACTTGTCTTTTAGGCACCGGGCTGTCAATCTCTTTCTTCAGGGATATGAAAAATCCTGGATTGAAACAGAAGAACATTACTTTGAAGATAAACTGATTGAAGACTTAGCAGTATGTTTTTAGTGGAGTTATAAAATGAAAGAGGGTTTGGGCTTAGGAACCAAATGTAGATGTAAACAGCTGTCACATATCACTGAAGAAGAAAACATTGCAATATATTGCTCTTAGGAAACTTTTACATCTCAATTGTTTAGCATTCAATGTTTACAGAAAAAAAAGCTTTCTTATTTCAACAGATCTCATCAAAATTAAGTGGTTCATAATTTAAGATCAGTAGTACAAGTTTATCACTAACTAATCATGATTTAGTTGTTCTGTATTCTTTCTCAAAGTCCCTTTAATCTCAGAAGCAGAATAAACTATAAAAAGCTGAACCGTAAAAAAGTTATCCACCAAAAATAAGTAGAGAGTTAACAAAAAGTTGCTGGTCTCTAAAAGCAAACAGGACAGAGGATGACAGAAGAGAGGAGGCCCAGTTAAATATAGTTGATGGCAAGCAGAGTTTCCATGAGACAGTGCTGAGACAGAGGCTTGTGTTACTGAGGGCACTGCACATGGGGGAGTGACTGCCATCATCTTTCATAAGTTGAGGGTCTGTTTAAAACTTGGATGAAACCATTTTTCCAAAACCTCTATAAGCGTACAATCTCACAGAACTTTGTACGATAGTCAGAGATTCACAATTCCCAATTTAAACAGCTCTTGTTTGAAAGTTATTTTTTAACTTGTGTATTATCAGGGAATGTAATGGATAATCAAACCCAGTTCTTAGAAACCTAACCATGATTTACCCAGTATCTTAAAAAATAAATCTGATTTATCTTAGAACCAAAATATTGAGGCCATTTGGATATATTGTAGAAATTTTCCTAGTACCTATAACATTTTTATAAGCCTAAAATCCTTGAAAGAATCTCACTTGTGTAGAGAGAAAATTAGTCTGAATGGGTTAAGGCAGTGAAGATATAAAAGTCATTAACTCATTTAATTAAAAATCAGGATTACTTACTTTTAATTAAAAGTCTGGATTAATATTTAATAATTTTCCTTGTTGTTTAAGTTCTGTCCAATATAATATAGTCTTTAAAAGTGACTGAAAAGAACAAAAATGGAGAAGTAGTCAAAGCATTAGTTCATTTTGTATTCTTTGCCTAATATTCTTTAATAATTTTTCACCTGATAAGCACTTTGCATTGCCCGATCAACTAAATTTTCATACTTCGAGTGTCTTAAAATTTCATTGCAAATTTTTATAATCTGAGCCTATCCAAAAGCTAAAGTTTCTAAAGAAAATACACTTTCAGTTAATGATGAGTCTGCTTATAAGCATAGCATTCAGAATTTTTTATTTGTGTGAGTCTTCCTTGTCCCTACTTCTTTGTCTCTGGGGCTGAAGGTATAGCTTGTTAGTAGAGCACTTGGCTAGCATGCATAAGGCCCTGGTTCAATGCTCTCCTCTCCAAGCCCCACACCATAAATAAACAAACAAATAAATAATAAACAGGATTAAATATCTGTTTTGAGCTACATAGTTTTAGATTAATAATATGTTAAATATACAGCATATATCTATATGTATTACATGATATATACAACACATATATACATATATAATGTTTATAATGCATTAAAATTCACACTCATGCATACACACATGCCACAACAAGGAAAAGGGGACTTTTCTTTTGTTCATTGTTCCTATCCCCATTACTGTTCCCAGATTTGGGTGAATGTGAAATATTTGACTTTTTTTGTAGAAACCTGGGGCCGAACTTCCAGAAGAGGATGAAGCCAGTAAGAGAGTTGATCCTCTGCACCAGCTGATCCTCCTGTTTAGTCGCACGGCTTTGACTGAGAAATGGTATGGTTGAAAGGGTTTGTGTGATACGTAGGAGCAGCAAATAAAGAAATCCATGTCTGAGTCTTCTGTGTCATGTATTCATGTTTCAGCGTCATCTTGTCCTTGTCAGAAGAGAAGATTGTTCAGAGATCTGTCTCTCATACACCCCAGACCAACATTCATTCAATTTCATGTGTTAATGGTTTCCTGTGAATTCTCTTTTTTGTTTATAACTTTATAATTAGCTGATTTAGTTTCTTCTTAATGAAATTGTGTTTCCCTATATCATAAATAGTTTGTATTAATACAGGAAACCAAAGAAAATGCCTATGCCAAAAGTGTATGGAGACCAGTAGTAACTCCAGGATTTCCTGGTAGATTGTGTCTCCATGGTGAGGGTCTTATGAAGCCTTTAAAGACTGGGTGAGATATCATCTCAACTTGAGAGCAGCTCTGAGATCTATTCTAAGGATATTGCCTATTTTTCTTGCCTCATCTAGTCTTAGTCATACAAATGCACAAAAGCCACAAAGGGTAAACTTTTATGGAGTCAAAGAAGAAAGGTACTCTTAGGACTGACAATTAAATCTCCCAGCATCTGCTTGCTACAGGAGCACTGCAATGATTGGCCCTATAGATGGGACGTTGCAGACAACCTTTACCTGCTCCCCTTCATTGTAAGAGCTGGCTCTGCTCCAGAATCCTGCCTGTTCTCTGCAGAACTAGGGAGATGATTTAATTATCAGTTTATAGCCACATGAATCTTCCCAGAGTTCCTGAGGAGTTCATGTGACCGCTGTGCATGCCATGACAATGTACACTTCTCCCTGTGATCCATCCCTTCTCTCACTATTTCTCTCTTATTATTTCCCAACTAACAAAACCATCTCACCCCTAAGCATAGAGCAACTCTCTGTCTGCCATTGTCAGGTAATGAGGTATTTCTCATAAATAAATTTTTCTTATAGCTAAAGTTAAAACTACTAAAATAGCTTTGCAGATTTTATATATTCTTGATGGAAACATTTTTCACGTATTAATGATTTCCATACTTCTTTAAATAGAGAATAATATATTTTGTCCTTTCTAAATTTTTAAGAGTCATCATTATGACATCTTATTTTTAAAACTATAACAGTGTAATTTGGAGAGTCCATCAGATATCAGATATCACTTCTGCTGTTGAAAGCTCTTATATTATTTAAATTTGCTTGTTTCAAATCTTGTAGTTTGAAGAAAATTAAAGTCATTACATTTCTCTGTAAATCAGTAGACCATTTATTTTCCAAGACTTGAAGCCTCTTTGGGAAGGTAAGGAGAGATGGCTGGTTAGGTCTGAAGTACTTGTGTTTTTTATTCTAACTTTTAAAATAATGACTGTTATCTAGATTTGATATGTATTTAATTTTTTAAAGAATATTTGTGAGAAAAAACCAAAACTATTTTATGCAATGATGGTATGTCCACATATGAATAGCTTTCTACTTAAAAATTTATGTCTTTTCCTTGTTTTTCATAGCAAACTGGAGGAAGATTTTTTATATATGGCCTATGCAGATATTATGGCAAAGGTAAGTAAATATTCTTCCTCCTTTTTTTTTTTTTTTTTGTACCAGAGATCAAACTCAGGTCCTTACACTTGCAAGGCAGGTGGCAGAACCACTGAGCTAAATCCCTGGCCCACTCTTCCTACTTTTAATGCTTTATTTTAATAAACAGAAATAATTTTCATTTGACAAAGGATAAAAATCTACATATTTCTATATTAAAGAAAAATGTTACATCATAGAAGCATAAGGCATGCAGATCTCAGCTTTTTATTTGTTGCATGAATTTGTGCTCTATGGACAAGTAAGAATTGCTTCTTTCTATTTCAACTTTTTATTTATGGAGAGCTTATCAATTTTCCAAATGTTCCTTCAAGAAATACTCACTGTGCACATTAAAGTACTGAAGATAACATGGTGAATGAGAAAAAATAATGTGCACATTATGTTTTAGAGTTAATCATCTGATGAGAAGACAAAATTTAAACAAATGATTGTTTTAAAACTGATAAATAGTAGAGAAATTCCTGAGGAGGTTGGAAATAGGTTACATAACACAATGGTGAGGCCTGCTTGAGGGAGTTCTTGGTTGGTGAACGATGACTTAACCTTGCTATATTGACTGAGTGCTTATTTAGTTTCCTCCTGCTAAGATGAGGGTGAATAAGGAGATGAATGGAAAAGAGGACTCAAGGTTTTGTTGAGGCCACTCATTTGGGTACCATATACTGGGCCAGGATCCCCAGAATGCTTGCAGGTATTGGGTGAAGAGAGAAGAGAGCCAATTAAATCTTGGACATGTTAAAGGGGCTTGTAAGGCATCTAAGTGGAGATTTCAAACCTGTGTTTGGATATTATGTCTCACATTCAGTGTCTCAGATAAGGTTTCTAAGTACAGATTTGAGATTCAATAGCACTAGTGGCCACTGAAGCCATAGGGGTGGATGATCTAGCCCCGGAAGAGAAGGCAGCATGCAAGAGAAGATGGCTTCACTAATCTTGTAAGGACAAGGGTACTAAGAGAAGAACAGAAAATTAAGAGCCCATATGCACACACCTGCATGTGTGTGCACATACACACAAAATGGAGAGAATATTAGTGTGAGCTGATAGAAGAGTCGGTGTGTGGTCAACAAAATCCTATTTTTCTGAGGTTGGACAAGGAAGGGATTGAACATTTCCTGAATTTATGATGTGCGTGCGTGTGTGTGTGTGTGTGTGTGTGTGTGTGTGTGTGTGTATGGTGACACAGTTTCAGAGGACTGTGCAGAGAGGTCCTAGGAGGTAGAGGTGTTGGATTGTGGGAAGTAAGTGGGGCTTCAGGTGTGAGATGTGATTAGACAGTCCTACACAGAGAAACTGAGAAGGAGGTGAAAGATATAAGATGAAAAATATCTAAAAATATCTATTGATTTCTTTAGTTTTTAAAAAGAGAAATCTAAGCACATCTGTCTTCTTTTGGGAAGAAGCCCCTAGAATAGACAAGAGGATAATCTGGAGTGAGGTCATGAGTATTAACAGCCGTGGAAGAGGAAATGTTGGTGCTTTCTACTTTTATTTTAACCCACACAAGAAATATAGTTACCTAGTATATTTAGAGAAATATAAAATTCATACATTGAAAGAAAAGTTTCATGAAATTATACTCTTCTTATGCGCATTATAATCTAATATCTCTTATTTAAACAAAGGGTTGTTTTTAGATCGTGGACCACTAAATTGATTGTATGTCCAGTTAATGGGCTAAAATCTATAGTTAAAAAACATGACGTTCAAAGATAAAAGAGAAAGAAATCTTTCTTTGTAATGAAAAGGAAGAAGAGGTGGATACCCAGCAGGATAAGGGCAAGTTGGAGTATCATGTGTTCTCTCTTTGAAGAAAGGACAGTTACCTGCTGAGACTGAAGGCTTAGGGCAGGGAATCTGCATTGGAAAGTAGGAGACTGAAGAGTTGAAAGAGATATTGAGCCAGTTGGCATGGTGTATTGACTAGAAATTTTAAAAGGATTCCAGGCAGAGTAGAAAGCCTCCTTCAGGTTGTTTTCTATGGGTCTGTGGCCGAACTGGTCTTGGTTGTATGGCTTCTTTCTAGCAATTCTCAGAATCAAGGTGCAAGTTCAGGAAAGACTAGTCCTTTGATGCATCAGATGGAATTTTGCTGGACCACTGTTGAGAATCACGCATCTGAGGAGTTTTGTACCCACTGCTTGGGCATCCTTTGCAGGCTAAGAACCCATGAGCATGTGGAGTAAAATCTGAGAAACTCCTGGTTTGAGAAAAGACCATTTCTGATTACTAAAGTTCTTCTCTGTGATTGAAGATTGTCTTCACATTTGCTTTAGTTGTATCTTAAAGCTCTATCTAATCTCTTGATGGATGGTCAAATATTTAATGATGTCTAACATGCTCACCCTTTATCTCAAGAGTTTCCTCTTCATAACTAAATAATCTCATGCCTTTTTCTGTTTAATGTACCCAAGGAATACCAGGCTTGGGTCCCTCAGTTCATTCTCCATGCTTCAGTTTATCAATATTTTCTACCCAGGGGCTAACTGAACAGCTTTCTAGTTGTGCACTCACCAGCTCAGAGCATATGGTCTGTCTGCCTTTCTTTCTTTCTTTCTTTCTTTCTTTCTTTCTTTCTTTCTTTCTTTCTTTCTTTCTTGTTTCTTAGATTTTTATGTGGCATCATAATTTTGCTAATATGAACAGTTATTGAAATTCTTATTTTTAACTGATGTCTCCTATTACACAAGACTCAAGAGCTATAAGACATATATACAGCTTAAAGAGAAAATATCAAACTGTTCTCCAAAGTTTTATATTTATCAATTATATCATCAATTTATATTTATATCAATAATGTTTTTTTGTTTTTGTTTGGGGTTTTTTTGGTACCAGGGATCGAACTCGGGACCTTGCGCTTGTGAGGCAGGCGCCAGAACCACTGAGCTAAATCCTCACCCCCTTCTATCAATAATGTTTAAAAAATTCTGATAGTCTACATTCTTTCTAATACTTGATATTATATGACTCACTGATTTTTGTCAGCCAAATAAATATTACTTTGGGTATTTATTTCCATTTTATTTGCTAGGTACTTTTCTGTATCTAAAAATCATTCTTCTTTGGTAGATAATTCTGAAACAGCGCTGATGAATAGTTGTATGTCTTCTCTATTATTATTACTTAGCATCTGCTCTAAAACATATGCTCTTTCTTGCTTGTTGAGAATTTGAAAAATCATTTAAAATCTTTTTTTTCTTCTTGGTACCAGGGGTCAAACTCAGGACCTTGCATTTGTGAGGCAGGTGCGGTGCCACTGAGCTAAATCCCCAGCCCTGAAAATCTTTGTATTTTTGAAGTCATACTTTATTCTAAACTTTAGGCTAATTTGTTTTTGTTTTTATTGTTATGCCTATTATTACAATCCCCATTTCCATCATGAATACCTCCGGTTTGAAACAGATCATGCCAGGAAGTCTCTGTGCATCCATTAGTCTGTTGTCACCCCATTTTTGCCCCTTAGTTTGCTGTTGAAATTTACTTTGGCATCCTCATCATGATCACCCTGGCTTGGTTTGTCAGAGTGTCTCTGTGCTACCTACCCTCCCTCCTCCACTGTCTGAAGATGCTTTACTCTGATGGAGTGGTTTCACCACTAAATAAAGTAACTACATGGAAGTATCTGCAATATATCATCATAAATGAAGCACTCAGTGTTTCTGCTCTTGATTTTCTCACTAAGGAAACCCTTTGTTATCCTTCTCATATTAAATGTTTGAAATTTTTAAGATGCACATTAACTTATGCCTAATTTTTCATATTTGTTGATAAAAATGGTAAAATGCTAGGTCACTTTCTTTTTTTTCTTTTTTTTCATTATTACTAGTTTTATTTTATTTATTTTTTAAAAATTCTTTTATTGGTACATTGTAGGTATACAACACAATTACATTTCTCATTGGGAACTTGTACCTTTACATGATGCATCTTGGTTCTTATTTTCTCCCCATTCCTAGCCCTCCCTTCACCCCCTCCACCCTTCCCTATTTACAAAGACTTTATTTCCATTTTTTCCATTTCTCATCATTTTTCCTTTCCCTTCTTTCCTTTCCCCTGCCCCTCCCACTACCCCTACCCCTTTGGACCTTTTCTTCCTATTTTGCATCATCGATTATTCATTCTAATCATTGGTACATTTTAGGTATACAATATAATGACATTCATCATTGGAAATTTGCACCTTTACATAGTCTCTCTTGGTTCTTATTTTTCACCCTTGCCCAGGCCTCCCTTCAACCCCTCCATTCCCCCCTACTTACAAAGATTTTGTTCCAATTTTTCCATTTTCTCATATTAATCCCATTCCCTTCTATCCTTTCCTCTATCCCTCCTACTTCCTTCCCCGTGCCCCTTTTCTTCCTATATGAGATCTTTTTCTGAATTATCCATTAGTTTTCTGTGTGTCAGATTTAAACTCTTATGAATGTTTCTAGTTTTGCTCTGTTAATCTTCTAAGGAGTATACAATCAGAAAGGCAATGGAAGAATGTATGAAATAGAATTCTTTTGGGGAATGCAATTCCCAGCAGATACTAGCGAGCTGAAGTGCCCTATTTTCTGTTTTATCTATTCTCATTGCCAGATATGAATTTTGTTTTGGATACCTGAATGATCTAAAGTGTCCATTTTTTCTGTTATACCCCCCCCCCACAAATTCTCTTCCGGTCCTTTATGTATAGATCATATATTCACCTTTCTTTCCTGGCATATGGCACCATTCTTCCTTGCCTAGAATTTAGCATTCTGGTTCAGAAAGACAAATCCCATTCTTCAGAACTAATGTAATTCCCTATTTGTTTAGCACTATCGTGTGTATTACATGGATGCAGTTTATTACTGGAAGAATATTATCCTGTGCCTGAAGATCCTTCTATTTCTGTTCAGTGCATTATAAAGTTGCTAGAGGTCGATTAAGAGTTTCATGCCAGTCCATAGAAGTTTAGCACTTTACCTTCATGGTAAAACTGTTACAAGTCTGTGTCCCTACCTTTATTTATTTCCTCCTTTACAAACCATGTTCCCGTGACTGTTATTCTAAATGAAAACTGTGAGCACCATAAATATTTGTTGAGTGAATGAAGAAATGTGACAAACCTTTTAGAATTTATCATTGGGGGATCATCATTTGTATCATCTCTCTCATCTCCATCCCCAAAGTGCAGTGACTCATTGAGCTGAAGTATTTTTCTGATTTATAACTTAGACTTCACCATTTGTCTCTTCCCAAACATAAGAAATAACTTAGAGGGGTTGAAACAGCCTCACTTGAAAAACTAAGTTTCTTACCACCATTGGCATTAGTTAAAGACCAGCTCCCTTTGGTCACCATTACACTCCACATTCCAAAGCATAATATAGTAGCAATGAGATTTATTAAAAGCTTATTATTTTTCAGAGACCTTTTCCCAAGTGGCACACATTTCACATGTATTAACTCAAATGAACCTTTTAAGAATCCAGATGCTTCTGTTCTTATTCCCATCTTAAATATGAAGACAACAAGGTGCAGAAAGATGAAGTAACTTGTCCTGCATAAACTGGTGCATCAGCGGTGGGCCAGATACTCTGTCTCTTGAGCCCATGTCCCCAGGCACCATCCCCCTCACCTCCTTAGCAAGCCAAAGTTTCAGCTGTGTATATTAGATAAGAACATCTGAATGGCTTGGTACAACTCCTTAATCCTTTCTGGGGAAAAGAATGGAATAGTCAGTTTTATTGTGTTTATGTATAAATAGAACAAAGTCAGTAACAATTTCATTTTCTTCCTCTGGGTGAAGTGCAACACAAATTAACTTAAAAATTACAGGGATCAATTTAACTAATGGGCACTGCTTCCTATTAATTTTAATTAATCGTTATTGTATGGATTAGCTGTATTAGTGCATTATAATGACAACATAAAAAAAGAGGGCTGAATCCTCATCTTTAGGGCTTGTAGTTTGGTTTGAACAAAGACAATGCATGAATAAATAGTATGTATAGCATCATATGAAGTTTGTAATTATCTCTGCTATGTATAAAAGAGGCAATTTATATTTTACATTGATAAAAGCATAAAATATAGAATATAATTTTCTTGCAGTTCATGAATTTATTGATCATGTCTAAGTATTGTCTGACATATATGTATCTAAACGATGTTAATGATAAATTAATGTAAATTATTTGGTGTTCTGTGTTAAATAAGTCTTGTGTACTCTTACTTCACCATATTCTTGTTTCTTTTCTTTTTTAACCCATATTAGAGTTGTCATGATGAAGAGGATGATGATGGCGAAGAAGAAGTGAAGAGCTTTGAAGTAAGATGAATCCTTCTAGAACTGCCCTTTCTCTATTTTGGAACATTGTTTCATAGCTTGTAACAGACCTTTATGTTTCTTGCTTCATGGCTTATTGCAGCTTATTGTATCGAGGAACTGCATGTCAGAGCTGGATGGGCAAACCTGAGTCCTAACATTTGCTGAGGTTAAGACCAAGGAGCATAGCATAGCTGAATGATAGAGTAAAGCCCATATGTTCAGAATGAGTGTTCCTGAGAGTCCTAAGAGATGAGGCTGCTTCAAACTGCTCTCATCTCAGTGATGTTGTTGTCTGGAATTTCGAAGAGATGTGTGTGGAAAATATTTACTGAAGAGCAACATGGCATCAACTTTTTAATCATACCCTTGGATTGGTTTTTTTTTTTTTCCTGAATTAAAGTTTTAAAAAATTTGGCCTCTTGACTTCTGCCCGATTGGGTCACTCATTCCCTGTACATATGTAGATGGTGGCACAGGATGCAGGATGCAGTTTGCTTGCATGAGGTAGGAGAGCATCTATTCCTAGTATTCGATTCCATTTTATGATGATATTCTTAAATAGTCTCAGCTTTTAAATATCTCATGTAATTTGAAATGCTGCTTAGTGTTAATTAGCTGGAAGAAAAGCTAATATTATTTTCCCCTTTGCTTATAGTGTACTTTTGCTTTTTCTGAGAATAGCTATTTATTGCTATTACTTTTCTTATTTATTCACTTTTTTCCTTAGAATTTTTGAAAAGAAATTGAGTGAAGGAAATAGAGTTTAGGTTAGATTAGACTGTTTTTCTTATTAATTTACATGGCTGGACTTTGAGCTAGAAGTCTGGAAATATATCAATAGCCAGCAATGAGTCTTTAATTATGGTGGACCCACAAAAATGTGTAGCCAAAGAATGAACTGAGAACAATCAGTGTCACTTCCAGGAATAATTTTTATCTTCATCTCTGAAGCATTGAAGTTAATGTATTAAAAAATATGAAAACAAACTACTTTGAAAATAACGCATGACTATTGCTGGCTGGGGAAAATCCCATAAGATTAATTTCCTGTATAAACTGTGTGCTCTAGCCTCAAATCCATCTTTATGTTAGGAGACAGGTAAATAAGAGTGAGCTTCAAACAGCAAATGATATTGTTTTCCTGAAGCACATACCATTTATGGTCTCTTGGTTGTGTTCAGAGCAATTGTTTATTGCTATTTTGCTTCTTGTCCTCATCCTTCCTTAAGGTCACAGGATCCCAACGCAGCAAGGTAAAACTATGTATATGTGTGTATTTGTCTGGGTCTGAGTTTTGGTTTCTTGTGACATTTACCTTTGTTAGACCCAACATCTTGGACTCTTTTGTGGCAAAAGGTCTTGAAAATCTTTCTACAAGTTTGTAGCTCCAAAGCAATTAGTCTCTTAAGTATCCTTTTCTTGGTTTATTCTTCTTGTAATTTAAATGACTCATATTTTGAAATTGTATCCTCCTCCTTAAAAACTTTGACCTGCAGACTATACTGGATAAAACTGCCCAGCCCTTTACCAGATGAATGCTTATTTAGGGATTTTTGTTGCAGCCTCTGGTCTCATCCCTCTTGATGTTTTCTATACCAATCTTGTTACTTGAAAATAGACCTAGTAAATGGTATTGCTGGTTGGATTGGACAGAAATCTGTTTTTCATTGTGCTACTAGTACTCATAGATTAAATACCGTGATTTCAGTATTGATGTTGGCATTTTATTAAAGGGAAGAACTATGTGACTATTTCTATCTCTTAATGGTTTAAATATTTGATCTGGAATTTATTTTCTAAGAAAAAACATTTTGATATAGAATTACAATTTTTTTTTACTTTAGTATGGATAATGTTAAGTGTAAACTTTATTTCCATGACACTATTTTGTAGGAAAATTGATCATAAACATCCCAGGTAGACAATGCCCTCCTGTATTGCCTTTAGTGGGGAGGGCAGCACTGGTCAAATGCTTGCTTAGCACCACCCAAAACAAAGTTTTCCAGTGTGTAAATGAAAACTACTCTGTTCCTTCTGTTAAAAAAAAGTGAAATGTTTGCTGCCAAAGTAAATTCAGACTAAATCTATTCAGAAGAAATAAATTTTACTGTTTTAGCTCATTATTATATTTGGAAGACTATATTGTTCCTATAGTATTTCCCAAACTTTGTAAATTTTAGAATCAGAGTGCATGAAAATACTGTCCAATATAGTTCCAATCTGGTGCATACAATGGTTAATGGCACACAATGGACACAACCCATATTTTATGGGCTTATGTAGTACATAATAATGGGACCGGTAATAACTTGATAGATTTTGATTTTATGTTAGGTGGAATTTTTGTGAATTGTTGAAGGATTAAAATGTGTAAGAACCTCCAACATCAACCAAAGGTTTGGTCACCTGCCTAGTACAAGTACTTGTGCCTCTCTCTTGATTCTGCTTATAGATGCACAATAAGGGTGGGTTGGGCAGGACAGGCTGAGGAGCATTTGTTAAGAAAACTAGTTTATTTTGAAAGAAAAATTCAGTTTTAAGGAAATCTAAAGGCAAGTCCAATTTGGTAAATAGGATCAAATTTAGTGATTTTGGGAAGGCTCCTTATTCCGGAAAGAAGTCTGGGAATGGCTGACAGTCGAATCTAATCAGCAAGCAGAATATAGGATTCGGAACAAGCGAAGGGTAAAAATCAGGCGAGGTGTGCAGCCTGACTGGAGAGAAAGTGCTGCCTTTGGGTTTAGAATGGTGGGTAAGTTTACATAATGATGACGGGGCTGGGGATTTAGCTCAGTGGCACTGCCCCTGCCTCGCAAATGTGAAGTCCTGAGTTCAATCCTTCGTACAAAAAAAAAAAAAAGCAATTACATAATGATGAAACCTGGTAATTAATCCCAAAATAGGGGCACAGGTCAGCTGCATGTGACAAGATTTTTAAGTTGCTAATGATTGCCACATATTTATAAGTGCAACACAGTAGACCAAATTTGGAGGTTTTTCACTTTCTAACCAGTTGTTTTACTGATCTTCATGGGATTCTGGACTTACAACTTATTATTTATGACTAATTTTGTAAGATGGTACTCCATAACATATATGCTCCAAGAGTAAGCAATATGAGAGAATACACTACTGAAAACCAGTTGTATGGGGCCGGGGATTTAGCTCAGTGGTTCCGGCGCCTGCCTCGAAAGTGCAAGATGCCGAGTTCGATCCTTGGTACCAAAAGAAAAGAAAAACAGTTGTATACAATCATCTACAAAGATATTCATCTCGAGACTGTTTATGTGATACCAATAAGACTATTGAGAAATTTAACCAGACAATTGGATTATTACATTTTTCAAAATTTACTAGACTTTTTTCACTAATATGTCTGGTGGTTTGACATAATTTATATAATCTAATAGTGGACTTTTTCATGAGTTATAGTGAATCTGAAAGGTTGACAGTTTCAATAGTTCTTATAACAAATTATGTTAAATAAGTTTGCAAAGAATATAAAAGGTATAGTGAGTTTTATTACTATAACTGGTTAATGGTTAATATTTGTTGTAGCTACTACTTAAATTCTTTATCTGTATTCAACAAAGACATTGGGAAGAGAAAATAAGTAGTAGATATATTAAGTTTGATATTAAAAGGAAATTTTCCATGAGGAATACAGGGAAGCTCAATAAACAGTGGTGCACATCTGTAATCCCAGGACTCTGGGAGGCTGAGGCAGGAGAATCACGTTTGAGTCCCATCTCGGCAATTTAGGGAGGCCCTGGACTCAATCCTAAGATAATAAATTTTTAAAAACGTCTGGGCATGTGTCTCAGTATGGAGGACCTGTGTTCAATCCCCAGTACCAATAAAATACAATAAGGCTGAAATATGAAGTATTTTCATATTTAAACTAGTAATTTAGTTCTGTTTTATGTATAAGATAATATAAACATTTTTCCTATAGCTGCTTATTTAATAATTATTGCATACTTAATTATTTTTAGATTTATGGCTTTTTCACTATTAAAACTTTTAAAGGGAAGTTAAAGACCCAGAACTAAGTGAAAGGAAAGAAATTATTTTACCAGTTACCTCAGAAGTTAATTATTGCAACTGAGTGCTTTACCAAGCATTAAATTTCCTTCCAAGAATAAATTCAGTCCCCAAATCTATGCTGTAGATTTGCTGTGAAATGTCTCCTCATGTGATTTCAAGCTTTCCAGAAACCAACTTGAAATTACATAAATTTAACAGTTCATTATGTCAATAGTTTTCTTGTTGGGAAGAAATTTTTCATGAGGACAATGCATAATGTAATGAAAATAGTCAACAATTCAGCTATAGTAATTATTTGAAATTTTACAAAATTAAGATCAGGCTTTCTACTATACTTTCCTACAGCAAGTGTTAAAAACCTTGAAGCACTCATAGAATAATATTAGCTGTTTCATTACAAACTTCAGTTATGCAGAAGGGAAGTCATGGTGTGAAATACTTCCATTCAGTGCAAGTGATTTGATCACAAGTCTGCTTTGTGATCACACTTGGCCCTGAAAAGACTTACACTGATCCTATGAGGATGAGAGCTGATAATTCTTGGTTGCTTTGGGCAATGAAGACTTTTTGCCTAAGGAAAAATTCAAATTGTGAAACTGATCTTATTTTTTTTAACTTTACTTTGTAACCTTGGAATAATTTAAAGATGATGGTGCAGGTTGAAGGCATAATGGTGTCTATCTAAGACCCTATAGCAGAGTAAGCAGGTCTGGGTAGGGGGAGAAACTCTGTTTTTAAAAGATATTTTCAAGATCTTCTGTCCCTTAATAAGATACTTTTAAAAAATGTCTTCACTTTGCTTAGAAAAACTAATATGCAGTGAAGTTGAAATAAAAATGTTTCCCTTCTCATGAAATATATCATTTTAGTATCTGAAATCTCTCACTTAGTTTTCTAGATTTTTTTTTAATCTTATGATAAAATTTCCCAGTGAGAAAATTAAATTATATACCCTGAAACAACTCTCAAAGGATAAAACACCAGGAAGAAATAGTGTTATGGAGTTCTGAAGAGAGGGGCTTCCAACTGAATCTTACAGGAGATTCAAGCCACGAGTTGGCCTGGTTCTTCTTTGTGAAGTACAGGTTTTTCTGCTTCTAGATCAGTGTTTCTTTTTTGGCTCAATGTTATATATTTTTTTCAAATAAGTCTCATCTCCCCTGACATATTTTGTTGATTTTTAGATGCCAGATAAGAAAAATGAGAGTGATCTTTGACCAGGGAATTTATTTTTAAAGAAGGGAGTTTGATAACTTGTCAGTTTTTTAATCTTCTTGAGTCATGCATCATGCATAGTTTCAGCTGCTAAGAGGATTCTGGGTACTTTGATCTATTGTGCAAGTTGTCATACCCATGTCTGGAGCATAAGTGGCACATTGTTGGTTGTCTTCAAGTTTAAAGCATGCTGTCATTATTTATCTTCTGTGATTTCCTGATGACATTGACTGTATCTTCTTTGGGGTCGGTGGAAGAATAATTCTTTCTGACTCTTTTTTTTGGTGAAAATACTTATTAATTCCCTAAGCTAATACATTCTTATTATATTCTTCCTGAAAAACTCTTTTCATAAAAGTAGTTGGTTAAGCTGTATGCGAAAGTTCCATTTTTAGTTCTGGTGATGGAAGGAAAGTAAAAGATTGTTGGGTCTAAAAGGAAGAATCAAATGTTGCTCATCAATTTTAAGTAGCACCTGAAGAGCAGACAAAAGGGTCTTCTTTCAGTTCTTCCGAAACCGTTTTGTATCAACAGTATGGTTTTGTGTGTCTGTGTGGTTCTGTTTTCGTTTTGTTTTTGACTTCACAGGAAGAGGTTTAAACATGAAGGCAAACCTTTTAGAGTTAGCATGGCTACATATGAAGCAAAGCTGCCTCTTCTTTTCTTTTTTCTGCTTCCATTTAGGCCTATCACATAATTTAAGAAAAAATAAAATTTAACCACAGGAGCTCTAACTATAGTGTGAAAAAAAACCCTGATCAATTTTGTTTTCGCAGCACGATATTATCAAAGATTTAAGAAACAAATTTGCCAGCCTCGGCGAGAACTCTCTGGTAACAGCATAAATGTCTGTGTTGGTTGCTTTTGATTTAAAGGTTTCTTTTTTTTCATTTGTTTGAGCCCATTTCTTTACCCCCTCCTTTTAGTTTACTTTATTTTTCATATTCTGTAACTAGCAAGCCTTCATTTTTTAAACCTCTTCCATCTTCCAGTGTCTATTTCCGTACTTTGGATGGAAAGTTTACGGCAGCAAAGCTGTCTCTCTGGCTACCTCTGCTGCAGCTCCTACTGCTCTTAGGTCATATATATTTTGGCCGTTGTGTTAACGGACATGATACTAAATGAGTGTTTCATGTCCCATTGACTAAGCTTCTCTACCACACCATTTGATGGACGCGCTATCATAGGGCTCTATGCAACTTTCATTCTGCAACTCATACTGCTTAGTTCCGTCTCAATTCTCCAGCGAACTGGATTGCTCCAGTGAATGGTCATACCAGTCTTGAACTTGCTGTGCCTTTATATTTTATTTTTCTTTCCTTCTTTATGTTTGCAGTGGTAGCTTAAGTGGAAAAGAACAAACTCCAGCCATTGCTCTTAGCGGCACCATGCAGTCTTGTTTGTAACCACCAGAGAATACAAAATATAAAGGCACATGGCTTCTCTTATTCTTTGGGGGTGACTGGGGAGATCTGTATCATGAGTCCACTATTCAGTTGAAGCCTACCTTTTTTATCCATATTAGTTTTCAATTTTGGTTAAACTCTAAGACATCTCAGTTCATGTTTTTCTGTGATTCAGTGATAACTTGCTGAGCAGTATCAAGTTATGGCCATGACATGGGAGATTATAAAAAAATGTGACCAACTTATGCACAGATGTATAAATCGGAAAGTGCACATTTCATTGATGAAGAACTAAACTATTATAGGCTTTGGACTAATCAATTTCAATTGAGAAAAAAAATCCATCCTGATAAACCAGTACCAAAAGTCTATCAAGAAAAATATAAAGGAAAAAACTGGAAGAGTTGAATATATGACTGTTTGATAACAATTGTCGGCGTTGAAATGGTCCATAATGTTGTCATAGAGCCCATACATGAAGAGATGACTAAAAATATAGTGAGCTGCTGTGCTTACTGATCTCCACAACATAAATGGTTGGGATTTGTGTTCAGGAAAAAGAAATGGAAAAGCAAAAGCTTCTGTACCAGCAAGCCAGGCTGCATGACCGCGGGGCTGCGGAGATGGTGCTACAGACCATCAGCGCCAGCAAAGGTGAGGCTGGCCATGTCCCTCAGCAACGTCCTTCTGCAGATTCCCTCATTGCTTCTAAGCACTTTCTGCTGTCAATCCTGCTGATTCTATTATCCCTTAATTTCTGACTCACCATTGTATCAGATGACTCTTGAATGCCATGAATGTCATCACTTACAGAATCCAGTGTTAGTTCTCTCACTTCTATTAAAAAGACTTATTTTATGCATACTCTTTAAGTTTGAAAACTTTGCTATGACTAAACTTTAGCAGACTGACCATATAAATCAGGAGTTTGAAAGCCTCTATTAGTCCATAGAGTGTTTACTTTCAGTTTGTTGGGTCTTGTGGTCTTTTGCAACTCTTCGGTTCTACCATCAGAACATGAAAACAGCCAGAGAAAATAAGGAAACAATATGGCTGTGTTCCAGTAAAACTTTATTTACACACAGGTAGCATGTGGTAGTTGCCTTCAAGCCAGTTTCTTGACCCTTGATTTCAATGTTTAGCCCTTTTAAGTGAGTCTTTTTCTAACAATTAAGGTACACTACCTGTTTCATTATGTTTCAAGATGTTTTTTCCTACATTAATGATATCTTCTTTATGAAAACATTTTAATGTCATTTTTGGTGAATTGGAAAAGTAAAGTTGATACACTCTGTTAAAGTAAAGTTGATACACTCCCCTAAAGTATGGGAATTATTTCTAAGTAAAGATGAATAATGTAAAATGAAATATAATATGCTAAATGACAGACAACTAGTTGGATTTTAAAATGTCATTATCTGAATAACTTAAAATTGAGTATAGTCATCCTAATAAAGCCAAACTACACACCTATTAAAAGTGATGATTGAAAATATAATAATATTGTTCAATGAGGGAGAGAAGTTTTCCTTGAAGAAAGTTTTAAGTAGTCAATATTTATTTTAGTATTATTTTAATAAACATAGTTACTTTTGAATCTTAATAATTTTAGGTTTCAGTATTTCAAAATCAGTTGTTTTTCCTATTTTTCTATGTCTTCATGTAGTTTAAATTCTTGAATATATTTTACAGAATATAGTAAAGTTGTTAATTGCAAAATATGCATGGTTATTGTTTTAGTAGTTGTGGTACATAAGTCTCTGTCTCCACAATTACACAGAATTATAGTAGGTAATAATTTTAAAGTATACCTTTGAGGAATGCTATTTTTTAATATTTTACAGGTGAAACTGGACCAATGGTAGCTGCTACTTTGAAACTTGGAATTGCTATTTTAAATGGTGGGAATTCTACAGTACAGCAGGTAATGTCTTTAAGAAATTTACATAATGTACCTTTCAAAGAAATAGGAAACAAACTCTAATTTTTTTCTTTATGTAAAATATGTCCCTATTTTAATTTACCACAATATCTTAGAGAGAACAAGGGAAGGAAAAAAATAATCATGTGATAGTCTTAGAAGCCAAAACAGAAAATGGTTTCCAAGCATTAAAAACATTAATTTAAATGTGATCTTTTACTATGACAAATGGTTCTTATATTGAGGCATGAACCGCTCTCTGACCATCCATATATCAGACTATGGAGGTGCTTATGGAAACTGGCAGGGTGGCCAGGTTGTTCTGTTTCCATAGTGATTACATGACTTGTCTTTAAAAAATCAACAATTAGTGTCTTTCATTTTTTGGTACCGGGGATCGAACTCATGACCTTGTGCTTGCAAGGCAGGCGTGGTGCCACTGACCTAAATCCCTGGCCTTTTCATTTTTTCTTAGATAAATAAGTTATCACCCTCCCAAATGGCCATGTATTTTACATGTCTTTGTGTGTGTGTGTGTGTGTGTGTGTGTGTGTGAATATGTACATGCGTGTATATACATACATAAACTATATGTGAGTATATATGTGTTTATATACTATGTGTATCCTTTATGTAATTTATATTGCATTTGACTCTGATTTCTGAAAAATATTAGTAAAATATTTTTAGGTTGCTTAGCTGAGCTCTATTTAGAATTGCACTGATAATTGGAATTATTCTCTTCCAATAAAGATGAGGAGAAGCTGGGCCTGGTGATTCACATCTGAATTCTCAGCAATCTGGGAGGCTGAGGCAGGAGGATTGAAAGTTCCAGCTCAGCCTGAGACAGTGGGACTCTGCCTCAAAATAAAAAATAAAAAAAGGCTGGAGATAAAGCTCAGTGTGAAGGCCCTGACTTCAATCTCCATTAGCCCCCCCCCCCACAAATTGGGAAAGTAGAATCTTTATTTCCTTAAAGCCTTTGAGTAAGCCTCTGCTATCCTCTATGTATAGATGCTCCTAGATTTGCATTGTGCTTGTGTCTGATAACTCATAACTGAAACATATCAAGTGAAAAAGCTTCTGCTACACCTCTCCTGTAGAACATCATAGCTTAGCAACATCCCACACTATAGAGTATAGACTGTTTTCCCTTGGGATCATGTGGCTGATGAATATGTGACTCACTGCTGCCACATAGCATCAGGAGAGAGTGGCATTTGTGTATTGCCATCCTGGGAAAGGATCAAATCTAAAACTCAAAGCATGATTTGTATAGAATGTGTATCATAGTTGTACCATTCTAAAGCTAAAAAACCTAAATAGAGCCATGTGTGGCTTTAGCATTATTTTATATTTGAGTTTAACCAAAATATTAACTACAGATTCTGGGCATCACTCTGAGAACAGAGGAGAAAAATTTCATAGAACACGATTCCTACCATACTTTAGATTCAGAGACCATGATAGCAGAGACTATATTCCTGGCTGTCACATCCACATAGAATAGTCTCAACTCTCAGCCTCTATAATGCTGTTATTTAAGTGCCTAACTTCTGCCTGGAAATCTGTGGATAGTGCCAGTGGACCTGACTCTTGATTTACTTGCACAAGTACCTATGTCTCTAAAGGTTTAAAGAGAGACAGGAAAAGAATTCCTGGTATAGCCGCCTCCCATATTTGTGGTGCTCATTGTGGTGTAGAAACAGCTCCCTCATTCCAGTTATGTTTTATTACTACATCTAGAAAAATGCAGGCAGTTCTGCTTAGACATACTTGTTACTCCTTCATGATTGAGATGACATTAATAGCATTTGTATGCACTGGATATTCTTCTTACCTTTGTTCTAAAATAGAGAGCATGTTCTGGTTATATATTATTTAACAGAAATCTATGGTTTGTGTTCAATGTCCATGTGGCTGGCTAATCTGTTTCTGTAGAAAATGCTTGACTACCTCAAGGAGAAAAAGGATGTGGGTTTCTTCCAGAGCCTGGCTGGCCTGATGCAGTCCTGCAGGTAAGGCCCTGCCCTGCCTTCTATAGATTTTGAAGGATTTGCTCAACACTGTGGACAAATAATTATACAAACAAGGAGTTTTGATCATGAAAGATGTTTTAAAATGGGACAAGGGCCAATGTCTTGTTTCCTCTCTTGTTTTTCGCATGTTAGTGATGCTCTAATTACCAATTTAGTGTTGTTAATATCCTGAAAATAGTTCTCCCCATGCCTAAATTAGGACCTTGAAGAGTTAAGATATATATTCTGCATACTTGAAAGGGAGTGCTATATGATTTTTTTAAAGAAAAAAAGAAAGTTTTATTGCCTTTTTTGGGGGACCTTGTAAGGCATTTCTCATCTTTTCTGATAAGTAGTCCTTAGCTACTAATTTGTGACCATCATTTTCTGTTTTTCAATATTTAAAGTCATTCAGGTAGCATGTGACTAAGGAACATGATGCATAGTTAGTGGAATAAGCTATTTCAATGATTGCTATAATTATATTTCTGCCTGTCTCTGACTTTGGAGTGTCTTTCCAAGCTAAAACCTATGAACTTGGCATTTGGATATTTTCAGTGTAGCCCCTGGGAAGAGGCTGGTCTGTCTACTGTTAGGAAACTGTTGCGGTTAGGAAACACTGGATTGGCACATAGTTTTAATGTATGTCAGCATGGTGCTCACATTTTCAGACACATGGTGTTTAGACATTTGCTCTTCTGCACAAAGAAATCATCCTATTAGTCCTATGAAGCTTTTTCTCCTTGTTATTGCAGTGTCCTTGACCTAAATGCATTTGAGCGGCAGAACAAAGCTGAAGGACTTGGGATGGTGACAGAGGAAGGATCAGGTATTAATCACTTACATTAAAAGGATCCCCTGCCCCCTTCTTCCCTGAAATAAGTCCACTGTCATTTACCTTTGCAAGCAGGGCCATACAAGTTTGTTTTAAAATTGATAAACGCAGAGCCACTTGAAAGTTCACAACTGAACATTACCCAGGTCACACCCAAAAACTAATCTTCTACCTTAGTCACTGGCTTTTTTTTTGTTTTTGTCTCAGCCATACTTTCAGCACTCTTTTCCCTAGTTGGATTTTTAAAAAGAGATGAAGGTCTAATAAGAGATGAAGTCCCCTTATTAGAGAATTATAAGTTAAAATGTATGGCACAAATATGAACCAAAGTAAAGAGTGTTTGACTTTCTTTGGCTACTTTTGCAAAATGTCAGGCTCAGATTTTTCTCTTCTGAGGTAGTAATTCAACCAGGTCCTTCAAGCCACTGCTAGTCCTATCTCCTGCCTTTCTACATACCTTGCTTCACATATTCAGTGTTTTTGCCAGTTCAGATTGTTTGATGAAAAAAGTCAGAGAAGGTTTTTTTGTTTTTAAATAATTTGGATCACTTTATTTACATGTGTGCAAAAGTTAATTCATGCCATCTTAGAATATTTCTCTCTGTATGCAGATGTAGGTATAAACTAGAAAGTTTAGCACATACTACATTTAAAGCAGAAATAATGTTCCTTATTCATTTTAGGAATATTTATTAGGAAAAAATAATCTTCAATATTTTTTGTTGTAGTTGGTTTTACTCTCTTAAGTCTGATTTTTAAACTAGTTTTAGTGACGCCCTTGTGTTTATTTGTTTCTGTTTGTTTGGTCTGATTTGGACTTGTCATTTTTTCAGTCTGTATAATAATTTTCGAACATTGAGTCTTTTATTGAACTAAACTTATTTCAAAAATAAATTTTTTCTCTTTTTTAATCTTTGATGGCTGTTCTGAAAAATTTAGTATTGAATAATCTTTTTGTCTGTGTATTGTTATTCTCACAAATAGAAAAAAGAACTGCTTTTTCCTTATTGTATTTTAAAATGTGTCAGTTATATATACTCTAACCCTGCCAGTTGTATGTGACTCCTGTGTGACTTTATTTTCTGGGTGACATTTGAATACATAGCTCCAGTCATCAAATACAGATCATATGGTTACTTCAGCAGGCTAGCCACCTTCAAAAAAATTACCAGCACCACTCTGAACTCATTTAGGTTATCTTGCCTAACATAAGGCTCTGTCTGGAGAGCCCAGAGCCACTACAAACCTTAGGACAAGTCACCTTCTTGGCTCTGACCTTTTTCAGAATCTAGGGCATTTCCAGCTGTAAAATGCCTAAGACTAAATGAATTCTCTGTCTATAATCTGACTTCCCTGTCTTAGAACTAGAAATCTATTTCATTTTTCCTGGTAGTTATTACCTAATGTTCCAAGTGTCTGAACAAACTCTCATTACTAGTTCTCAGTCACTATTAATACCAGTTCCCACGAAGGAATAACAACCAACCTCTTAGCCTTTGTTGACCCAGATATATATTAGAATAATTATTTTTGACTCCAAAATCTGAAATAATGTTTTTGAGAATGACCATTTTAATGTGAGAATTATTTACATCTCTCAATAAGATGTTGTTACTTTAATTTGTGTATTCTTTTTCCAATACACATAAAAATAAAAATAATTACCCAAAATGCTTAACACATTTTGTATCTTATTTCATTACAAGTAGCAAAACAAAAAAATCTCAACTTCTTTCTTTTTCCCATTTCCTTTTCTTTCGACTACTGTAAATGTACTATGCTCCCTTCTCAGTCATCACTCATGAGCGTGGTAATTATTAAAAATGAACTGCCTCTTATTTATTTACTCTTTTATTTGTGGTTAGCTTTGTGTATAGACTTGGTAGTGATAGTTTTTGTGCATTGTTTTTCCTTTTGTAGTCTGTTTTAATAAGTAAATCATTCAATTTCTATCATTATGCATCCTTTTAAAAATTTATATACCTATCTTCTCCTTGTTCTTTTCTCTTTTTTTCTATGAAGATGTACAGTTATTAATATATTAGATATGAAGGGGCTACAAGTACTTAAATTACATTTGTGGATTTTTTTGTTGTTGTGTTTCTTTGATTTACAAAAGTTCCTGGTGGTCCCAGCATTTGCAACTGTTGTGTGAATGAAGAAAGCCTAGAAGGCGTGTTGCCCACCTGTGGTGTCTCTGTCTTTATGTGGCTTTATGGCTGCACTGAGGGTGCATGGCAATCAATGACAGAGCCAAAGTGACCTCTAACTAGCTAAGTGTGCTCTTCCAGCTGCCTTCCAAGTATTGGTTTTCCTCTATTTCTCCAAGGTTTTTCTCTGTTCTTTTGAAACTATCACAGAGTAAAAATCCTTCAACATAGAAGCTAATTTTCATTCTTGAGAGTGAATTAAAACAGCAGCTAGAAACAGTAGCAACTCTTTGGTCTTTAAATTGATATAATAACAAAAAATGGCATTAGTATTTCCAAGTAGCTTCTAAAACATACACTAGGCAACGATAATCAAGAAAGGATGAGATTTTTTGAATAAGGCCTAGTATGTCAACAAGACTGTCAAGATTAAATTGTGCTTTCTGAATACAAGCAATTAGCTTAATCAGGAGACCTATTAGGTGAACATGCAAAGTAACTCAGCTCTATTAATATTATACTGTTTCTCACATTGCTTTATAAACACCTATACAGACACTCTTTAGGCATGTTTTAAAATTTTCTGTTATGAGGTCATTCTTAAAATTCTATAAAAATTAAGAAAAGCTCATGTTGTCACAGGAGAAAGAAAACTGATCATCCCTCTTAGAAGGTGTGGAAAATAATGAAGACCCTACATCTGTTACTAATACATATAGTTACTTCACAGGCTCAGATAGCATTGGTTTAGCATGGAGAAAATAATCTGGTAGATCTCAATATCCATCCTTAACCACTATCTTTATTAGGCTAAATCTCTTTCTGATGAGGATGATATGACAATAAACTACATAGCCATGGAAAATTTATAAACTTAAGGGCAAGAATGTTTTGATACCCACAACCATCCAGTGAGTTGGCTATAGCCTGGATTTTGTAGGTAAGGAGATTGAGGTCACCTGGCTTGTCCATTATTACACAGCTAAGTGGCAGGGCCAAGCTGGATACGTGCACATATCTGCGCATATCCTGCCTCCCTCTGTTTGGATTGCTGAGTCCCTGACCCCAGTCACTTTCCCCCCATTTTTTCATATTCCTCAGGGCTTTGTGTCACATCCAGCTTTGTGGCTAGTGCTCTCTGTCCCTTGATTCATTGTTCTTTGCACCCTTCCAGGACACCAATCTGTTGCCAGTTTTTTGCACGTATTGGTGAAGTTTCAAAATCACTTTTGAACTTTTTATAATTACAATGCTTTTCATAATCTGGTATTGAGATACTATTAGGAACTATGTATTTGTGTTTCCTTAAGGTATGTATATAAAAATTTCAAACTAATGATTTATATTCTTTTTTTCTACTGCTGTTATATCATGTAAGTTTGGCCTGCGTCTCTATCCCTCCTCTCTAAATTTTCCCCCTTTCAACAAAAGCCTGGACCTCCACTTGTTAACAAAAAAAAGTTTCTTCAGCAAATGTGTTTGGTGGATTTGTGATGTGCTCAATGTTGTCCTCTCTATATAGTATATATTCATATAGGGCTTTTAAAAGTGATATGATAAAGTTCAGTGACCTATATGAATATTTAAAATTCCATTCCATCCTTGGACTTTTAATTTGTTTTGTAGAACCATTTAGTTAACCTCATTACGAGATCATTATGAACTTGAAAGTGCAATTTTCCTTCTAAAGAAGAAGGAAGAAGGAAGAGTTTTGAAACTCTTTAGAATATAGTGGGAGATATTTTAATTTTGATCATTTAGTGGCAGTCCTAGACTCCATGGGCAAGATAAATTCTTGAAGTTGATCTGAATCCATAAATTGATTTGATTTTTAAAATCTTATCCAAAACATTAACTACACATCAACATTCCCCAAATTCCCATCTATATCTGATAATGTGTTATGCCAAGGTTCTTAATGATACATATATATAGTGACTTCATCAAATCCACGTGAAATTGAAACAAAGATTAATTTTTAATTAGTCCTTAAGTACTGGCTACCCTAACTTCTTGTTACAGCTTTTATTGCTTTGTTATTGATTGGCTATATTCCCCCCAAATTTTTCAGAATACTTTCACAAATGTAGTCTAATGTTCTGGGTAAACTCTTTAAAGAATATCTGTGAGATTGGATACTGGCATCAAATAAGTTTCTAAAAGTCTTTACACAATTTTTAAACTTTGAAGCACTTATTTATCTCTGAGTAGCTAGTATGGGTTGGATTATGTCCTTGGCATTGGCCATGACTTTGGAGCTCAGTAGTGTGTAGATAGACTTATAAACACCTAACTTCAGAACAATGCTGTATGTGTAAAAGTTCTCTCACATAGAGCATTGTGCTCTTGCATACATAGAACTAAAATATGTGGAAGCATCTAACTGCCAGAAGTGTGCCTAGCACAGCGTAGTAGAGGTAAGTTTTGACCTGCAGTAGGTGCTCATCTCTTTGGTACATAAAGAAAGCAAAAACTTTTTGATGACAAGAAGAAGCAGGTGCAAAAGTTCAGGAGAGAAACATGGCAGAGAATAGTGACTAACCTGGTGTGCTTGAAAGGATGTGATCAGACTAGAAAGTAGAAAGATAGTTGGTGAGAGGCCATAAAGGACTCTCTCTGTCCTGCCAAGAATTTTATAATTTTTCCCTGGAAAAAAGGGAAGAAGAGCCCTTAAATGAGTGATATTATGTATGGGTTAAAGAATCCACCTGGAACTAATGTCCTAGTGTCCACTGTTGGAAGAATGTCTCTGGTAGACCATACTAACATTAAAGTGCATAGATTTCTCATTTCTCTATAATGCTACTACAGTAAAGAAAGCTTGAGTCCTCCAATGAGAGTGACCAACATTATTGCCTTCGTGGCAGTGGGGGAGCTCTGAGGAACCCAGTATCATAGCCTGAAGCCAGGGAGGTCAGTTAGGATGCTGGTGTGCATGCCAGGACAGAGGGTAGTAAGGATTCCACAAAGAGTAATTACAGCTGAGAGGCGCACACTCTAGCTATAAGAAAAGCAATCTGCAAGTCACATTGGAATGCAAAGGGATGTTTTTCCCTATAGGTTCTTTAATTCATTTAAGTAATAGAATGTACTTTAATCTTGTTATACTTGCAACATGCCTAATTTATGTCACATAGTAGTCATTTTTGTTACCTTAGGATATTAAATAGAAATGCATTATTTGCATTGTGTCAGGTTGTTAACTATATTTAAATAAATGCACTCTGGAATTTACAGATTGTCTTACTAACAACCTATCGAAATAGTATTTTAGTAATAGTATATTTAAAATAGAATATTTAAAATATTGAAATAGTATATTTAAAATAGTAAATTTAATAGTATATTTAAAATAGTATATTTTAAAATAGTATATTTAAGTCACAGATCATTTGACCTGTGACTTCACAGCAGAAAAACTTTACACTTATTTCTTTTATGCTTTGCAGATTTCAAAACAAGTTCACTTGTTTGAACTAATATGATACTACAGTCTATGAAGTAAGGAGGTCAAAACTTTATTAACTGCCATAGCAAAATGATGAAACCAAGGCTCAGAGAATTGGACTGACTTCCCTAATGTTGTATATTTAGAAATGTTTTTTTCTTTCTAAAATTGATATAAACAAGTACGAGTTCACAATTTAACGTATAGAGCATATAATGATTTTTGATCAAATATTTTATTGGTTATTGATGCTAACTTTACAAAGTTTAGAATCTGTGGCATACCAGTAAATTTTAGTAAATTATCTCTTCACTGGTTTTCTCTTCCATTGTCTGTGAACTTCTGTAAGTTAGAGACTGTTCACCTCATAAGCTGCTGGCATAGAGGAGACACTCAGGGAACACTTACTGACATTCACTAGAATCAAATCCTTCACCAGTGAAGAGCTGTATGTCATTAATCAAGTTAATTTCCCTCTTGTTTACTGTACCACAAAATGGGATTACATTTACCTAATTTACAGGATTATTGTAAACCCCAATGAAGTGATGATATATGTAGCACAATAGCTAAATGCTTTGAGTCTACTTTTAAAATTTTATTTTTGTTAGTTGAATTGTAATATAGTTAAAGAATTCAGCCATTTAAATAGTGATATTAAAACTACGCACTGGGGAACGAACTACCTGACTGTACACTATTTAAAAATATTTTTAGTATTTTTTAGCTTTGCCATTGCTCAAACTAGATAAAGTCCTTTAAAGATCAGTAATCAGAATGATCTCCTCTACAACAGTGATACACTTTGGAATTATATTTAATAATAAATCATAGGGTGTCCTTTGCTGTAGCCCAGTCTTATATTTTATGCATGCACCCTTTTATCTTTGTATTATTAAAGATACTGACATAACAAGAGCCAACAACGGGAACATTAATTAGTCTTGTAATCTTTGTCATTTTTAAGGGTGCATACCAGGTAATATTATTTATGCCATTAAGTTGTTATTAGTAAGTATTGACAATTAATACCTAATAGTAATCATTAGCAGCTAAACAAAGCTTTATCTGGAGACTAGGCTGAAAACTTCAAACTGTGTCCATGAGTGTTTTCTAAGTAATCACTAGACACATACACACACCACACACACACACACACACACAACCCAAACGTGTTGTTGAATTTAAGCAGATACTTGTATACTTTTCTATTAGCTAGACAAACCAATTGTGAGTAGAAAAGTCACCTTTAAAAGTATGTTAACTTTAGATCTCTAAACTAGGGCTTACTGTTTCACTGTTAGCTTAAATAAGATCTTCCAAGCATTGGGCTGGGGATTTAGCTCAGTGGTTCTGGCACCTGCCTCACAACCACAAGGTCCCAAGTTCGATCCCCAGTACCAAAAAAAAAAAAAAAAGATTATAAGATCTACCAAGCGTTATTTCCAAGTGGAAATTTATAATTTGTGAATATTTTCATCCATTAAAACTAAGATGGCTTTCAGAAAACAGAAATACACTTCATAAATACAGTTAGATAATATATTTATAAGCTAGGCATTTTTTAGTTTTATTGCCACTGCCTCTAATATATTAGCCTTTTCACAATTTATACCACTGATTATGAAGAGCCAGTTGCAGGGTACATGTTATCCTTATTTATAGAAGAGAAAATCAAAGTTCAAAGAATGTATTCATCATAAGCTACAATATTGAAATAATTTTCCCTGTCTTCCACTATGAGATATCTCGTGCAACTGTTACAAATAATATTTTAAGAGTGTAAGAGCACTTTCAACTACATGATACTCCATTTCGTTATTTATTATTGATCTTAATTCCCATCCTCCACTGGAATTTCTGTTGCATACATCACAAAGTAGACTGTTGCTCTTGTACCTTCTGCAGACATAAAGCCATCCTCCATCTCTGTTACTGGACCACTTCCTTGCAGCATGGGGAATGGCAGCATTTTAATCTGATAATAATGTGTTCATTAAGCACTAGGACCTCAGTTCACACCTGCTGTCACCCGTTGGTAAATGAAGGCTGGACCGAGCGCCTTCCCTCACTTTCCCCTCCTTATTGTTCTTCTGTGTGCAGTGTGTCCATGAAAGTGAAGTTCCTTGTATGTTTCAGTTTACATTCAAGAAAATACTGTGCATGCCCATAATAAATAAAATCTTATGTTAAAAATCATTTTGCATTGTGCAGAGCATCTTTAGACACACAGGTAGACTATATATTTATTTCATTGTTAATTTTTCTAAATACTTTCTACAAAGGTTATTTCACGTTGGATATATATAAACATTAAAAGTATGTACATGGTTTATTGATTGAATTTTCTGGAAAATTATTGTGGATGAGCTCACAGGGAAAGAATCAATAATTCAATATAATTAACTCAATATTTTGACTTAAATATCATTTTAACACAGTCTTCATGGCTCATGAAAATGATACTAAGTGCCATCAATGAAGAGTTTAATCTGCTTATCAGCCTAAACTGTTCTCCCTGTCTTTCTTATTCTGTCATGAACTTAAGCACTGAGGAATGGACTTATCAGCCATGTATGGAGATGCCAAACAATGTGCCTTTTGCCCTTGAACTTGCCACAACCTCTGATTTGTATACTTGGTGATGGTAGCTAGGTCACCAAATAGCATATCTTGTGGGCTATCAGGGAAATGAGTACAGTGATTTTATGTACTTTTTTTAATGTTTATATTAGTTATCAAAATGGTTTTGCTTCCTAACCCTACCATTATATGAAGCCTCTCACTTTGAAAGTCACAGACTGCGGACTGGTAAGTCCATCAGCTCTCTGTCATTATGATCATCCATCATTTTAGTTAAAGTAAACACATGATCATTGCATAGTTTTCTTTCTTAGCCCAAAGTATTTCCAGTCTATGAAAAGTTTTTTTGTAAATAAAAGAAAATACATATGCACCTTCATTCTCTGGCTGACATCTTTTTGGTTATTTTGCTTTCTAAATACATTTAAATTTCAGAGCAGACACTCATAACATTGAAGTTTTGTTTTCACTGACACTTTTCTAAAATATCAACTTTCATTTGTGTAGTGCTGTTTTGTGTTCGTTTCTTTCCTTGTGTTTTTGCTTTCAAAGTAAATTGTGATCAAGATACAATGAAATTGGAATGTAGGTGAATCCCCTTGCTGATACTTCATCTGTGCCCCTGAAATATTTTTAGTTTGTGATAAGCAGGGTGGCTTCCTGACAATAGAATATCCTTCTTTTAACTTTTTTTTCTTTTTTCTTTTTTAAGTTTAGCTCCCACAGCAGAGCCATCAAAGTTTTTCTTTTGGTTTGTTATTTTGGAAGGAACTCTGCCTGCTAGCTCACCCCCGCCACACACACCGAAGAATTGTTCCAGAAGTCCTGTCTCTATTTTAGACTTCTGAGGTCTTTACTTTTTTTAGCCAGTAGACAAGCTGATGAACAGTTAATTAAAATGAGTTCATAAACATTTCCTAGGGCCCTACTGTTTCATGAGGATCCTTTAATTATTCTTTCATAAAAGCATCCCTTGATGCTCTTTTATGGATATATTAAAGGATTTGCATTGAGTCATTTGGTCATCCCCTGGGAAATTTAACATTTATAAGAGATGCAGAGATCATTTTCATATACATGTTTCCCAAAACAAGAAAAAAAAATGAAGACAGAAAAGTTTAAACCTCCAGGTCATTTGTAAAATGTTGCCAAACCCATGCTGCTGCTTTTAACAGAGAGAAATCTGAGTTTTAAGATTCAACAGTTCTTTTCTTACAAAGAAAAAGTACATCTATCTGCCAAGCGCATGATCTTAGGAGCTTCAGATAGAAAAGCAGTTATGACTTGTGACTACTCTGGGTTCAGAACAATACTAGATGCTCCGTGAACCTGCAAGTGGTGGAGGTGGGGATAAACGGGCGATGCCTAATAGGTGGTCATGTTCACCCCTCTGTGCTTCCCACAGGAGAGAAGGTTTTGCAGGACGATGAGTTCACCTGTGACCTCTTCCGATTCCTGCAGCTACTCTGTGAGGGTCACAACTCAGGTTCGTGAGCCTGAGCCCAACTGATGGTACCCAAGGAGTGAATGTTTGCAGCCAGTGACAGCAGGAGCCTCTTAGGTCCAATGATGCTTTAGTTCTTAAGTTAGGAAATTGTTCTTCAACATTATTCTGTGTATGGTGGGCACCAAGCCATCTTACACATGATTTTGCAGCTTCTAAAGTTTTTGTTTAGGTGCTTCACTTGGTTCTTACCAGTCCTTATGTTAGAGAAGACAGATGAGAAGTGGAAAAGACATAAAAATCTTTAAAGTAATGTTGAAATTTCTTTCTTTTGTAACTCTTCTCATTACCTTGGGAGTACACTTCATTGTATTACTTAATGTACTTCCATTCATTGTTTACACATCTGGCTCTCTGCCAGGCTTGTAGAACCATGGAGACAGGAATTAAATTTTATCTTTGCATAGATCAGATGATGATTGAATAAATAGCTTTATTCCTGAATCCTTAAGGATGGAAACACTTTTTGTCCATCGCACATCCAGAGCTCTGGAACTAGGAATAGAGAAACAAATATTACACAACCCTACATTGTAATCTCAGTTACTTGGGAGGCTAAGACAGGAAGATCCCAAGTTGGAGGCCAGTCTGGGCAGCATAGTGAGAGCATGTAACAAAATAAAAGGGGTTGGGGATGTAGCACAGCATTCCTTCAATTCAGTCTCCAGTACTGAAAAAAGAAAACAAACACCAAACGCTGGTATCCTGTGAAATACCTATGCATGTTTTTTGGGGGAATCATTCACTTTCCTGGAAAATGTCAGTTATTTCATATTAAAACTATTAAGATAAAACCTTGTCCCTAGCCACAGTGAATTTGAGTAAGTCAACTTATTTAAGATTTTTGTCTGAGCTTTAATAATATCTTTTGATCTTATGTAGATTTTCAAAATTATCTGAGAACTCAGACTGGCAATAACATGACTGTCAACATCATCATCTCTACTGTGGACTACCTGCTGAGAGTGCAGGTGGGTTGGCATGTATATCCTCACAAATCCCAAGAGGGGGCAGTTGAAATGGTGTGGCAGTGTTGTTAAACTGATATGTTGCTTTAATGAGTTTGTATTTATGAATTGATATAATTTTTGAGATATTTTGTCTTTATTCACAATCTTTCCGATTATCTTAGGTCAAAACTGCTGTTATTGTCTCTGCCTCTAATCTTGGTTGCTGCTTTTGCTCCTTTATTTTTTCCTATAAATAGAGATTTTTTTCAGTTTTTGTTTTTTTATTGGTACATGTTTGCAGTATATAATGATTATATTTCTTTTTGGAGTTGGTACATGTGCATGACACGTCTCAGTTCTTTTTTCATCTCCTTCCCCTCTTCTTCCCCCTTCCCTCCATCTCTTCTTTTTTATTCATTAAATTTATTGGTACATTTTAGCTATACAATATGATGACATTCATCATTGGACATTTGTAACTTTAGATGATATTTCTTGGTTCTTATTTTTTCCCACCTCCCTGCCCTCTCTTCAACCCCTCTACCCTTTCCTATTTACAAAGACTTCGTTTCTCTTTTATCCTTTTCTCATATTTTTTCCTTTCCCCTCTTTCCTTTCCCCTACCCCTCCCACTTCCTCTTCCCCTTCCCCTCTGGACCTTTTCTTCCTATTGCACATTATCTATTATACATCCATCTCTTGATCCACTTCTATTTGAAAAAAAAAATCTATCTCCCTACTTCTTATTATCTTTTATTTTGTTCTTTGTATTTTGAGTTTCTCATATAAGAAAAACCATGTCTTATTTAAGCTTGTGCATCTGATTTATTTCACTTAACATTATGGTCTCAAGATTTTTTTTCCTCTATTTTTAGGCTTGATGGTATTTTAGATTCATTTTCATTTTTAGAGCACTTTTAGATTTTATTCCTCTTTCTAAAGTTGATAAATTGGAGGAAAGTATCAGAAATATTCTGATGTTCATTAGTTTCATAGTCACCTCAGTACCTCCTTGGTTAAGATGTCTCTAATATCATAATCATATTTACTGTTAACTAAACAGAATCTGAATTGATAGGCCTCTTAAATGATGAGACCCCTATAAAACTTTTATTTCCCTCATTTTACTTGTAATAGAGGCCAGGTACAGTATTTTAATTACAAATACTACACATTTGATCTTTCATTTTTTCCCCCTAATCTTTGAGGATATAAAAGTACTACTTAAAAAAAAGACTTAAAGCTTAACAGAGAGGAAAGTTTACTTTTAAGAAAATCCATGAAGTGTTGCTGAGAACATATATGTGATTTTAAAAATCATGTCTCAAAATTCAGTTGTTCATGTGGGCAGCTAAATTGTGTTATTCATTTAGCCAATGAAAATCACTCCAAAATGTAAGCTAATGTTGAAAGTAGCCTGTTTGGAAAGACTGATCTCATTTAGGTGTTCATTCACAGTTGTTAGTGTTTATAAGCTGTCCAGCCACTGTCTTCAGGGGCAGCTGTAAAATCAAGGAATATCCTGGCTGAAATGTTGTTGGGTTTATTAGAGAAAAACAAGGGTGGATGTCTGTAACCAAAAACATACTGTCCTGTGGTATGTCTAATTTCTAAGCTCACATTCTACACATCTAACTGTGCATTGGAAAAATATACATTAGTCTTAATCTTTATGTTTGTGAAGTTCAAAGTCATCTAGAGACAGTAATTTTTAAAGTTTAATTTTCTGCTTCTTGTCTTATTTCTAGTTGTTATTTATGTCTGTGGAGGAGGTTTCTGTATTGCATGTTTAGGAAAATCATTAACAAATGGTATTTACTTCATAGATAATTTTGTTTGCTACCATATTTATCTTTTATAATACTTTTCTCTCTAGAGTCCAAGACTAGGCAGATGAGTGCTAACTTTATAATACTATCATCTTCTTTTTTTCTAGGAATCAATTAGTGATTTCTATTGGTACTACTCTGGGAAAGATGTTATTGATGAACAAGGGCAACGGAACTTCTCCAAAGCTATCCAAGTAGCAAAACAAGTCTTTAACACTCTTACAGAGTATATTCAGGTAAACATTTAAACATTTCAGCTATTTGAAGAAGGAAAAATAAACAAGAGTCAGCTGGTTAGCATTGACTTCCAAAGAAAATGCAGTATGCCTAAAGTTTTTGCCATATTTCCTGTTGACTTCTTTCATTATCTCTTCGTTGATGTCATCAACTAAAATATTAGGTTGAAATGTGTATTTATAGGGAATGAATTGCCTTCATTAGGCATATTGAGATGTAATTAATTCCTCAGAGACGTGAACCATGATATTGGCTATAACTTCAGGGCCTGGCCTATATATGAAACTTCCAGAAATTAAGGAAGAAAATGGGAGAAGAAAGGGAAGAGGAACAGAGAGGGGAGAGATTGTTAAACTACCTTTTACAGCATTCTCACAACAGTGTTTGTCAGCTTTCCATGGATGTGACAAAATACTTGGGAAAAATAACTTAGAGAAAGAAAGATTTATTTTGGCTCATGGTTTCAGAGGTTTCATGGTTAGCTGGCTCCATTGTTTCTGGTCCTGAGGTGAGGCAGGAACATGGCAGCAGGTCAAGGGTGGAAGGGCATGGTGGAGCAGAACTGATCACCTCACGACAGCCAGAAAGCAGAGGGCAAGGGAAAGAGAGGAAGGGGCCAGTGATGAGATACAGCCTTCTAAGGTATGCCCCCAGTGACTCCTTCCTCCAAGTCGGCCCCACTTCCTGACAGCCCAGTCAGCTAGGAATTCATCAGTAGAGTCGTCTGTTGAGGAGGTTAGTGCCCTCATGACTCAGTCTCTTCTCAAAAGCCCATTAGTTGGCCTTTGAGGGACGTTTTAGATCCAAATCGTAATAAACATTTTACGTGAGGAAGACATTTTAAAGAAACTTAATAAGAAAGAGAATGTTTGAAAGCTGTATTTGTGAGTATACTAAAGATTTCTAGTGTTAATCTCAGATTCTCTAAAAGGTTTTATATAATTCTGTTCTTTTTCCTTTTCTTTTCTTTTTTTTTTTTTTTTTGGTACCGGGGATCGAACTCATGTCTTTGCGCTTGCACAGCAGGCAGCAAAACCACTAAGCTAAATCCCCGGCCCTATTCTGTTTTTTTTCTAATCAGAAAAACTTGGCTGTTTCTTAGCTTCAAATTAGTCATCTTTCTTGTCTATCTTTTGTCTTCATGGCCAATACCCTGAATGAGCCAGTCACCATATTTGATGTGCCTAGTGCTAAAATAAAAGAGCAGGAAGAAACTTAAGAGTTTGCTTTATTAAACTAATCATTGTCTTGTAGGGATAAGAAAGACTAAGTGGGAAAAAAAGCAGATTGTATCCCAAGAGCCTCACATAATGGCAGGTGTTTGTGTGAATGAAGTGGACACCTCACCGACCTGCGTAAAAATGATAGGTGTGGGCTGACCTCCCTTAGCCTCCCTCTCTTTCTGTGTTGCATCCAAGAACTTGGAAGGATCTTACTGCATGGGTGGGGAAGAACATCTTTATTTTAGCTTTTCAAGGTGAAATACTTGATGATTCTAATAAGTTTTCCTTCAAATGGAAGTGATTTCAGCCCATTAGATTCCCATGTCTTCTCTGCCTGGCTTCCATTATTGCATTAGGATTCCAATCTATAAGTAAGAAGATGCCAGTACAACATTCATGTGTGCTGTCATGATTAAATGAGCCTGTCTGATGGCACTGCTTTTGTAAAAATAGTCAGTAAAATCGTTTCTGAGTTAAAAATGAAGCAAGAATACTTTTTCAGCCATAGGCAAACAGTTCTTAGTTTCTAAAACATGAAATTCCTGAGCTCACTTAAAGCTGGAAGCATCCACTGAACTGTCATGCTCTTTAGTAGGTATATGTGTCACTAAAGAACAGGTTCCTAAATGGCTGTTTGAAGATAACCAGTAAGGTCACATGGCTTACCATGCTGCCTTCACTTTAACTTCTGTTCTTATTCCGTTGATGTGACTTATTCCTATAACTTAATCTTTTGTGAAATATTTTGTTTACTCAGAAAAACCACAAAGATAATTCAGAGGGATTCTATTTAAGATTCACCCAGCTTTCTCTAATCTTGACATTTGTCAAAACTAAGAAATTAACATTGACACAATCCTATTAACTAAATTGCAGGCTTTATTTTGATTTTGCTAGTTTTTCCACCAGTGTCCTTTTACTATTCCAGGATCTAATCCAGGTCACCACATCACTATTTAGAAATGTATTTAAGAAAGCTTACCTCAGTATCATATTTCCTGATGAATACTGATACTATAAATAAAAGCTTATTATGAGCTTCTTGCTTCTTTTGGATAGCCTTTTAGATTGTAGCATTGTACATTGCTTTTTAAATCAGATTTTTGCTAACTGTAGAAAATCTGAAGAAGTGATCCGAAAGCATTGCAGTAAAGGTAATCACCTATAAAATTGCAATCCTGGCTTTAATAAAAGAGAAAAAGGAAAAAGAATTGCTTGAGTTATATTGCATGTTTTCTAGAGTAAGGCCGTGAAGTAATTAAAGAGAAAGTTTTATCTGTCCTTAACCACAGTCCCTCTAAAAGTGAGACCACCCTGCCTTCAGGCATTTCCCAAAGGTTTTATATGCTACAGGCTCTGATTACAAGAGCCCTGTCCTTTTCAGATTGGTTAACAGTTCCCAGAAGCCAAAGACCAATGGTTAAACAAATTGGAGAAAGTGCACTCAGTGTGTTTTAGGTTTAAAAGATGTCAAAAATCAAAGTCACAGTAGTTTCATTTAATGCCTTAAATTGGCCTTACTTTCAATTCTAGAATTGGGCAGCACTTAGTTCCATAAAATAGAATAAATATTCCCAGAGCAGAGCAGAGAAATTTGGTTTTCTGGAGAAAGTCTGAAAGCAGAAACAGGGATCAGGAAGCAGAGTGATCATTGAAAGTTACTTTCCTTGTTAAGACAGGGCCAGGGAGACAGAATAGAAAAAAACACCTGATTGGTTAACATCAGGTCACCTCAGTTTACCTTTTCTTGTAAAGATTAAAGCAGAGGGAAATCAATTATGTTGCCAGTTGAAACAGACCTATTTGGGAAATTTGGCTGTTATCTCTTCTGATTTCTCAGTCAGCTAAATCACTTGGTTTCAGTTTGGTGACATGGCACCTTGTATATGATGACATTTTTATTTTTAGCCTGGTCTGTGCAGGAGACTAGTCCAAAACAGTGGTCTCTTGTAATTTTTATTTAACAAAGAAAATATGGGGGCTTGTCTACAGCTTGCCATCCCATTGCATAAGGGTTGCCAAAGCAACTATTGACTACTTAGGGGTTATAGAAGATCTTAACCCTTTACAATATAAAATTTTAAGTTCTGGTAAAGCTTTAAGTATCGCATGAAGAAAATTGTTTCTTACTTAAAGAAAAATCACATTCATTTTCTTCAGAATGGCATTCTGGTGTGGCTCTGAGTCTGTAACCTTGGTCCCATTGCAGAAGGGATGGAAGCGGGGGAGGTGTCAGCACTTGGAAAGCTCTCTCCAAAGTATCCTGCTATTTAGTGCCAGTCCTTTGATATCCTTATGTTACTGCCTCTAGGTTCTTGTGTACAGCAAGTGAAGAATTGCAAAGCATGTACATGATGGCAGGGGGAAAAGCAGATGTATTTATTGTAGGTCACAAACAGAAATGGATGACAGAAAAGGAACACTGAACAACGTTTAGATAAATCAGGCTTTTGGGCTCAGGAGTGAGAGGAACAAAGGGCTTGTGCATGTGCTTTGGTCTGAGGTTGCATGAAATGTGCCTAAAGTGGCATCCAGGCTCGAGTGGGTAGAGGTAGTGATTTGGGAGGGAGGGCTTTAGGGTGGTGCTTAGGGGAGTGGTCAAGGGAGGGGAGCGAATTCCTCAGCCCCCATATCCTACCTCTACTACTTAGATGGAAAGATATATCATTAATTACCTCTTTTGAAGGTGTGGAGCTTTGATTTTGTAATGTGGATGTGCTTGGTGCTTACTGGCTTCTACAAATTGGGAGGGCTTAAGGGAAGCTGAGGTGGGTTAAATCTCCATTTCACTCTTTTAACCATTTTCTTCCCTCTTATCTAGACTAAAATTTGAGTTTTAATATGCTTTCCAAAAGAAACTCATTATGAGTCATTTGTATAAAGGAATAAATGAATTAGACATGAACGACTATATTTTAGATACTTTTCTACTTTCGAAATAAAATTCCCGTTATTTATTTTCATGATTGCTGTGGGTGTGTTTACAAACCTGAATGATTGTAGAATTTTTCCTTGGAAGGTAAAAACAAATTGTCCCTCACAAGACAGTTTGCCTATTACACCACCCATTCAGTAGTATTGATGAAGATCACTTCAGAAGTATAAACTGAGAGTGCAAAGTTAGGTTTGTTAAAAAGTAAGTTTAAGCACATTAAAGTTTTAATGCATTTATTGAAGCATTCCATTGTTCATCGATAGGTAGCACCAACCTAGAAGTGGTTCATTGTTCCACCAAGAGGGGAAGTGTATGTGCTTGTGTGCCTGCATGCATGAGTGTTGCTGGGCATTAAACCTAGGGCCTTCTCACTGAGCTATATCCCCAGCCCTTTTATTTTTGAGACAAGTTGCTAAGTTGCCCAGGCTGGACTTGAATTTGCCATTAATCTGCCTCAGTTCTGAGATTATAGGCATATGCCACCACAACTGTCTAGGGAAATCTTTTGTAAGGTGTTCTGGAAGCAAGTTTTTTTTTAAAAAGTAATAGGTTAAAGTGTAAATTCCTTAGTTAGATGTTAGTTCTGACTGGTTAAGCTTACGTTAAATTAAGTTTGAGTTAGCCTAAGTAGGAGCCCAAACCTTTGGAGCCACCTCAGCTAGACAACTTCCTAAGTAATAATTTTAACAGAGTCTCCAGTTACCTTGAATTACAGAGTTATGAAAATAATGGCCAAGTATCAAATCTCAATGGTTGCACCATTTGTAGAATAATTGTACAATTAAGAAAGTGGTGAGAAGTGTTTTCTCTGTGTGAATGCCTTATCCAGCCTACTATTTAGGGAAAAGAAACAAACTCCTCTTTTCTCAAGCACAGTCTCATATTCTTTTTGCACAAGGTAGCAATTGCTGATTGATTTGACTAAACAGCCCAAACTCAAAGACAGCAAAAAATGAAACGACTTGACAATCTCTTATACAAGTTTTTTATCATTAATACAGAAACAGGAAAAAATCCTTTAGAAACATGTTTTGGGGTTTATTAATCATTTCAAAGAAGAATGCACCTATCTCTTAAGGTCCCTTGGTTATCACTAGTCATTTTCCTTTTGGGTCCTTATCTTTTCAAATAACATACTTGCAATAACTTATATAAACACTAACTTAATTTTTCCTCTGTTACTTTAAGTTTTATTTTGGCAAATGAATCATCAAGAATGATTGCTGTCTGTCTGTATTCCAGGGTCCTTGCACTGGGAATCAGCAAAGTTTGGCACACAGCAGGCTGTGGGATGCAGTGGTGGGCTTTCTTCATGTGTTTGCCCACATGCAGATGAAGCTGTCTCAGGTACATTAACTGCTTTCTAACCTAATGGGAAAACTGGAGAGTGTAATTATCAGCTGACTGAACATGGTTTTCTGTGTTTGAACATTATCTTTTCCAGATCATTTCTCTAAACATCTTTTCCTCTATATCAAAATTTTTTTTTCTTTTAGTAAAAATGCTTTATGCAAATGGAGAATGAAAGGTGGAAGTTATTATTCAAATTTGAAAATAAAGGATGTTATGGAATGGAGAAATAAATCAGAGTCCTCAGACATTGTCTATTTCATAGTCCTCATAGACATATTTCCTGATATTTGCACATTAGCATTCTCTTCCCACTTACCAGAGGAATAACTACAAAAGGATTTGTAATCTGTTACAAATCTCATGTTAAAAGAGACAGTTCTTATAGGGTCATAAATAAGCAAAGATAACATTCACCCATTAACAACAACTAACTTCCTCAAAGTCAAGAGAAAATAATAGCTGTAAGGATAAGAAAGAATAAACAGACTTTCCGCCATGTTTTAATGTTATTTTGAGAGGCCTGTTAAACATATCAGTCTGCTGTTTTTCTCGCTGCCCTGTTCCATTTGGAACTAAAAGATCCATGAATAGAAAGTTCTTAATATCAATCTTGGGTAAAACTTTCACTTTGAGATGGTGAATTTGGAGGGGTATTCCATTTGTGAGGTATGCTGTTTGCCAAGTAATCAGGAAGAAGAAAGGCTGCTAGATTTAAAGTCAGAATGCTTCCCTTCCAGTCCCAGAAGTTTCATTCACTTGTCCATGAGTGAGGGCCTTTCCTCTTCCCTGAGGCTCGTTTCCACTGCAGTAGGTGGGGAAACTAACTCCGGCCCACTGGGCCATAAGCAGCAGAGTACTGTCAAAGATAAACCAAGCTGGACACTATAGTAGTCAGGAGAGGTTCTGATCAGCAATAACTGCTGCAGCAAGGAAGAGCTCTGTGTGAACTGAAAGCACCTTTAGCTTATGTGGAGGTGGATAAAGATTTTAAAGAAAGAAATTGGAGGAGAGAGGAAAATGAGCCAGAGAATAAGCCAGCTATGTCTGCTAACTGGAAGTGCTCAAAGTTAGGGTGCTGTCCTCCCCAAGGAGTCATAGGTCCTGTCTGTGGGTGTTATGTGGAACAATAAATTGCATTTTTCCTAGCAGATATTCTATTTGGGGAAGCCTTAAACTGTTAGAAATCATATTAATGTTTAGTCAAATCTTTGTGCATTGATGTTGAGGCCTTATCAGTAAGAGGGCTCAGAGATACCTGGCTAGAGTGTGGCCAAGGAGCTCGTTATTGGTGACATCAGCCAAAGATGGAAATCTCATTATTCTTTTATCTAATTACTAATAATTTTTTAGTAAGTAAAGTAAACTTAACTGAAACAAATTTATATACTCACAAGAGAATTCTCATCTAATGTTCTGTATTTCCATCATTTTATAATTATCTGGTGCTGCCTAGCAGCTATTTCTGATTTATAGTCAGAATCATGTTAACAACTATTAGACAAAGGCTGGGACTGGTAGGCCTGCTTAGCGGTACAGCTACTTACCTAGTGGGCCTAAATCCTAGGTTCAGACCCTATTATCATGAAAAACCAGAAAAGAAAAAACCTAAGCCAATCATGGTGGCACACACCTGTAATCCCAGGTCTCTGGAAGGCTGATGCAGAAGGTTCACAAATTCAAATCTAGCCTGGGCAACTTAGTGACTTATAAGACTGCCAAAAAAAAAAAAAAGAAAAAGAAAAAGAAAAAGAAAAAGAAAAAGAAAAAGAAATTGGGGATATAGCTCAGTGTGTCTTATGTCAGTGTAGAAATTCAGCTTTGTATGTAGCAAAATCCATGTGACTAAAATATCTTATGCTATTTTTTTAAAAAAGGAAAATTTTAAAGAATAGTTTAAGTAATACTGTTACAGTGTCAGGTTGTTGTGTGTGTGTAAGTATACAGAACCATATTTCCAGGCATTGGATCTAAGCATAGTAATGTTTAGATACAACATATCTACTTAAAAGGATTTTTTTCATGGTAATTAGTCAAAAGTAGAACACAAACCAAAATTTTAACCAGAGAAGTACAGGAAAGCTCATTGAAATTGGCTAATCAGATGCATCATGCAATGTTAGGATAGGTGGTACCTGTGTATGTTTTTGGTTAGATTTATGTAAGGTAAGTTTACCTGTCATTGATGTGCCTGCTTTTTTTCTGGAATAAATTAATTTTACATGATATTTAACCACTTTATTTAAAAAGGAAAAAGCTGTAGTCTTTCCAATAAAAGAAAGATGTTAAAGGTGTAAAGTCCATGAGTCTTGCCTAGCACTGTAGCATCTTCCACTGCTTGGGTCCACCATATGCTTATTAGACATGTCCGTGGTTCATACTCATCTTTAATGAGTATGAGTTGAAATCAATATATAATATAATAATGTTAAGTTCTAAAGCATATGTAGCTGAGTGTGGTGGGATACACCTGTAATCCTAGAACTTGGGGAGGCTGGGCATGAGGATCAGAAATTCAAGCCTAGCATGAACAACTTGATGACTTAGTGAGACCCCCATATGAGAGAGAGAGAGAGAGAGAGAGAGAGAGAGAGAGAGAGAACGCAGGCTGGGGATGTAGCTCAGTGCAAAAACCCTGGGTTCAACCCCCATTACCAGAAAAAAGCCTTATTTTTAATAAGCCGCATACTTATATTTGACCTTCCTTTAATTTAGTTCTATGATGCTTTAAGGTACCTACTATTGATAAACAGTTATTTTTTGTGAGAATAAATGTGATGTTCATACCTGCATACTTTTCTCCTGGTATCTCAAATGCAATATGTTAATATTTTTAGGATTCCAGTCAAATTGAGCTATTAAAAGAATTAATGGATCTTCAGAAGGATATGGTGGTCATGTTGCTGTCCATGTTAGAAGGTAGTTGTTATTTATACTTTCAGATTATCTTTATTGCTTTATTTTATAATCAATTTGTGTTTGCTTATGGAGTCAGCCTGGAGCAAAGAATAAAATAACACTAAGAGGTGACAGATAGCTTGTATTTATGGCTGATTTTATTACTTTTGTTCTCAAGTTAGTTTTTAAGAAAAGAAAATCCTGCATGCATCAGTTTGCATATATCTACAGAGTGAAAACAGTTGTATTTTCTAATAACAGTTTCATTTCACAGAGATTCCTACTTAGCAAGCTCTCTACAGTGCATAAGGAACATTTTATTTGCTTGTTCTTCTGTAATCAGTGGGGATCATGGACCTTTGGATTAACTCCAACAATGCAAAAGCCTGCTTAGAGATGACCACATAGTCGCTCCTGTGGCTTCTTAATGTCTTGGAGGGTTACGAGATTGAGATACTTCAGGCACAGCCTCGGCCCTCTCATCCCTCACCCCACCAGTCTCCCAATTTTTATTTTCTCTCTGTTCTCTCAACAACTTATTTTTCTTTGATATTGTAGTTCTTTTCTGTATCACAGTAAACTTGACGGTTAGGAACTTGGGCTCTGAGACTCACCACCAGGTTCAAATTCTGGCTTCCCCTTTTTACCAGTATAACCCTGGGGAAGGCTTACTTCCCTGTTTTCCCATTTCCTTCTTTGTAAACTTGATGTAGTGATGGATAGATGAGAGAATGCAGTGAAGTCACATAGATACTAGATACCACCAAAGCAATGAAGAAATGTTTCATATTATGAACCTTGTTTCTCTTTCTCCCTCTTCCTGACCCTCTCCCCGCCTCCCGCCATGTACTGCATTATTTCACTTTGGTTAGCTGAAGTGGTTATCTCATTGTGTGCTAGGACTTCAGAGATGTGGAATTGCTTAAAACCCATAGTCAGCACCAGCAGCAGCCACTTCATATTCCCCAAGCATAGGCCCTGTGACCTCAGTTCAGTATTTGATCTAAACAGTAACTCCAGCAGCAATAAAAATTGCAGCGGCAGCGGCAGCAGCAACAGCATCAATAACTTACAACTCACCTCTTATGATGTGCTGGCTTTCTAATCCTAATAATAGGATTTTGGGTTTAATAGTTATAATTGTCCCCGTTTTGTGAATGAGTAAACCAAGGCACAGGGAAAGCCATGCGATCTGCCAGAGTTGTTCAGCCACCTCACTCAGCCCATTGAGGAACTCCAGATCTCACAGGCAAACCCACTGTGGCCACTGCCTCACCAATGGATCATGCAGGCCTCTTGCCATGCACCGTTTCTACTCTCTATCTTTTGTTACATAACACATTCTGTCTAGAGAATGAAAAGAATCAAAGCGGTCTATGATTCTGTTATTTATGATCGTATTTGATTTTCTGAATAACCTGGCCTTTTCTAACTCTAATCCCTCTGGAATAGGAAAAGCTATACAGGAAAATACTTTATGCTGCAAGTCAGAAAGATCATGTAACTTGCTATCTGAGGATCTGGTTTGAAGTTTTGACATTAACCTTTAATAATCATGTCTCAAAGAGCATACTGATTTGCCCTTGCTAAAGCTCAGTTACCTCATTTGTAAAATTAGAATTAATAAAAAGTTCCTGCCTAACATACATACGAACATTAATTCAAATATTATCTTTGATAGTGATTTTTAAATCCCAAAGGGCTGTGCAAATGTTCTTTTTTATTATTATAAGATTAGATTTCAATTTTTGGCTATTGGCTCCAATTTCCTTATCTAAAAGATGTTATTTCTTCGATTAATTTGAGATGAGAAAAGTCAACTTTTATTCAGATATTTTCTGTGAGTCACTAATTACTTTGTAAATATGGTTTTGCATATATTCATGTAATCACTTTTTAAATCTACAGCTTACAAATTATCATCCATCTTTTCCTGAGACTTCATACATTGGGAGATTAAACAAGGAGATACCTTGATTCATATTTTATTACAGATCTATATAATTTTCTCTATACATATTGGCTTTCTTGAGAATGCTCATTTTGAACAAATGCAATTGTTTTATCACCAGGTAATGTTGTGAATGGAACAATCGGCAAACAGATGGTTGATATGCTTGTAGAATCTTCCAATAATGTGGAGATGATTCTCAAATTTTTTGACATGTTCTTAAAACTCAAGGACTTGACATCTTCTGACACATTCAAAGAATATGACCCAGATGGCAAGGGAGTCATTTCCAAGAGGGACTTCCATAAAGCCATGGAGAGCCACAAGCACTACACACAGTCAGAAACCGAGTTTCTCTTGTCTTGTGCCGAGACTGATGAAAATGAGACTCTGGATTATGAAGAGTTTGTCAAACGGTTCCACGAGCCTGCAAAGGACATCGGCTTCAATGTCGCGGTCCTGCTGACGAACCTCTCTGAGCACATGCCCAATGACACCCGCCTGCAGACATTCCTAGAGCTGGCAGAGAGCGTGCTCAATTATTTCCAACCCTTCCTGGGCCGCATTGAGATCATGGGAAGTGCCAAGCGCATTGAAAGGGTGTATTTTGAGATCAGTGAATCCAGTCGGACTCAGTGGGAGAAGCCGCAAGTCAAGGAGTCCAAGAGGCAGTTCATATTTGACGTGGTCAATGAGGGTGGGGAGAAGGAGAAGATGGAGCTCTTCGTGAACTTCTGCGAGGACACCATCTTCGAGATGCAGCTGGCAGCCCAGATCTCAGAGTCGGACATGAATGAGAGGTCGGTGAATAAAGAAGAGAGTGAGAAGGAGCGGCCCGAAGAGCAGGGGCCCCGAATGGGTTTCTTCTCCATCCTGACAGTCAGGTCAGCCCTGCTTGCCCTCAGGTATAACATCCTGACCCTCATGCGGATGCTTAGTCTGAAGAGCTTAAAGAAGCAGATGAAGAAGGTGAAGAAGATGACCGTGAAGGACATGGTCACGGCTTTCTTCTCCTCCTACTGGAGTGTTTTTGTAACTCTCTTGCACTTTGTGGCCAGCGTCTGCAGAGGATTTTTCCGCATTGTTTGCAGCCTGCTGCTAGGGGGAAGCCTTGTGGAGGGCGCTAAAAAGATCAAAGTGGCAGAACTTCTGGCCAACATGCCAGACCCCACTCAGGATGAGGTGCGTGGAGACGAAGAGGAGGGAGAGAGGAAGCCCATAGAAACTGCCCTGCCCTCTGAAGATCTGACTGATTTGAAGGAGCTGACAGAAGAAAGTGACCTTCTCTCGGACATATTTGGCTTGGACCTGAAGAGGGAGGGAGGACAGTACAAGCTCATCCCTCATAATCCCAATGCTGGCCTCGGTGACCTGATGTCCAACCCTGTCCCCATCCCCGAGGTGCAAGAAAAGTTTCAGGTAATGTGTCTTGGAGTTGGCTGTCTCTCCAGGCTTTAGGTCTGTAAAACAGATGAACATTAGACCAGGCTTTGAGCTGGTGACAGAACAGTGTTAAACATATGACTTAAAACTTCTAAAAAGAAATGACTTTTTGTTAGGCAAAGGACAAACACTTGCTCTTTTAAGAATTTTTGTTTTTGTTTTCTTTTTGCAGTGCTAGGGGTTGAAGACAAGTGCTGTATCACTGAGCTACATTCCCAGCCCAGTTAAGATTATTTCCAAATTATTAAGTTATCTTAAACCACTAAGGTGGAAACTTAAGTATTTACCCTGATGATAGCTCTTTTGAGCCTTCTGCCTAAGAATAGTTCATTAGTATTTACCATGTGTCCAACAACATCAGAGTCCCAGGGAATTATGGGTAAGAAGTAGGCCCTACTTTCAAGTGACCCTTAAAGAGCTGATTGGGTGGGGGAGGTCTAACATACATGAGAACACCAGGAAATTATTAAGTGTTAAATAGGACAGTTAGTGAACATCAGAGGTTACATATGTTGAAGAAATGCAAACACCAGTATGGTTTAAAGTAGTTAAATGAGAGTTAAGAGGTAGGGCTTAAATTGGCCTTGAAGGATGAGTAAGATTTGAGGAGGTGGATAAAGTAAAGAAGAATATTTCTGAAATGAGAAGAGAAAGTGGAGGATGCCCCCCAAAAGTTTATAGCATGTACAGAAGTGAGGGTGCATTTGGAACAGTAAAATGAACAGCACACATGGCTCTTCCATCTCTGTGTAAACAAGAGGATATCCTGTCTTGTGGCACATGGTCACATGGCTCCCTGACCATGGTCAAAGGTGATGTATAACCCTGCTTTTCTTTCCCCATTGATTCCTTCAAGGAACAGAAGCCAGAAGAAGAAAAGGAAGAAAAAGAGGAAACCAAATCTGAACCTGAAAAGGCTGAGTATGTACAGTTTCTGTATTATGTTCCTCTTTTTTTAGAAAGTCTCCTTTTCTTGTCCTGTCTTTGGAAGTTATAAGGAAGCATTTCATCCCACAAAGGAGCTGCGAGATCACGCGAGGTGTCTCAGTGGAGAGCTGGTAGTGGCCAGGACCTCAGTCCATTGCAGGGATAATTGAGTTGCACCACTGGGCTGAACACCATTCTCTTCTTCCTTTCTGTCCTATGAGGATTCCATTTATATGATTCTTTCCCCACACGAAGGACTCCAGTGATTTCACGAGTTCCCTCTAAAAGATGACTGACTGATAAAGTTCTGTCTTTAAGATTGTACATGTATTCTGTTCTTTTAGAGAAGGGAGGAAACAGATATTTAAGTAAGGTGTCCTAGGATCCTGTGGTGTGGTATTCCTCATAGGGTAGTCCCAGGACCAGGTATATAGAATCACCTGGGGAGATTGTTAATAACATGGATTCTTTGGGCCTTAAACTCCAGAGATTCTGACTCAGCAGGTATGGTGGTGGGGCCCAGGAGTCTTCATTTTTATCAGCAGGCCCGATGCTGTGGAGCATAATTATAAATGTAGCAGGAGAAAATAAAGAGCAGAATGCAAAGCAGTGAGAATCTACAACTCCCTCTTATCCTTGGCTTTATGTTAGTAATTGAAACCTGTATCTTTCCCCAAGTATATGGAATATTATGTGAACATTTTGAAAAATTTGGGAAAGAAACAAAAGTGTAGGGCTACTGTTATTACATTAGCATCTTATTTTTTTCATTTATTTTTAAATTTCCTTTTTATTGCATATTCTTTTCACTTCCATTGTCATCAGTCATGTACTGTCAGATCAGTTGTACAAATGGCCATATAAATGACTATTAAAATAAAAATGGAATGTTTAACAGGGAATAGCAGGCATTCAAATGGTGATTCTTTATCTAATGTTAAAATAATCTTAGATACACTTCATATGGGTTAAAGGTTAAGTACAGCTTCTATATACATATAGGTTATGTATATATAACTTCACTTTTAGGAAGGATTGATATTTTTCACCCAGATTTTCTAGTATAAAATTTTAGTCCTTCTAATTCTATTATTATCTGGAATTCATGTAACAATATATTGAAAATTTACATTAAAAATGTATTTTATTTAATAAACTTAACTAAGCTTAATATATGTCAGAAAATTAGTACTTTTTTTGTTTGTTCTGGTAACACTGGGGATTGAACCCAGGGCTTTCATACAGGGCTACATCTCCACCCCTTTATATTTTTTTTTATTTTTGAGACAGGGTCTTGCTCAGTCACCAAGTTGTCCAGGCTAGACTAGAACTTCCAATCCTTCTGCCTCAGACTCCCAGAGTGCTACGATTACAGGCCTGTGCCACAAAACTCTGATAATGTATTAATAGATCAATATAGAAAACCAAGTATACAGGCATTTGATGTAAAATCTGAGTGTTTAGACAATGTTAGAATTTGAACATTAAAATCATAACAAAAATAAGGTATGTTGGAAAGTCATAGCAAAAAAAGTCATTGTTATTCCCCTTTACAATTACATGGTTTTATAGCCCAATTAAAAGAGAATGTGTTACATATGGATATAAAGACTCTTCAAGCTTGAAAACGTCTTCTAGATGTGAACTTCACAGAATTATCCATCTATTGGGGGTCATGGCCACCACAGAAATCCTGCCCTTGAATCTAAAATTCAGAATATTATCATTCATTGGAAGAGAAATCAGTTTTCAAAAATGATTCTATGATGTGAAGTATTTGTCGCTTCTTTATCTTTGCACAGCACCTATTTGGTTCTTTAATTTCTGGATAGCTTATATTTTATTCATTTGTCCCGTTAGGGGAGAAGATGGAGAGAAAGAAGAGAAAGCCAAAGAAGACAAAGGTAAACAGAAGTTGCGACAGCTTCACACACATAGATATGGAGAACCCGAAGTTCCTGAGTCAGCGTTCTGGAAGAAAATCATTGCATATCAACAGAAACTCCTGGTAAGATGATTTAGAATGAATATTGTTTCTGATTTTTTGGGAGACAATAATAATTCAGGCTCAGTAAATATTCATTGACCTACCCTTGGAGAGAAATCTGGTAGCCAGCCATTCAGACCAGCAAATGTAGGTATCTCTCGGTATTTGGGGAGGTTACTTCCAAGACCCCCACCTCCATACCAAAACCTGTAGATGCTCAAGTCCCTGATATAAAATGAAATAGTTATTTGCATATAACCCATGAACATCCTTTCGTAGACTTTCAATTATCTCTAGATTACTTATAATATCTAATACAGTGGAAATGACAGGAAGTAAGTTATTATACTATATTGTTAGAGAATAAAAATAAGAGAAAAAAACGTGTATATAAATGTTTAGCAGAGGCAGTTTTACCCAGAGGTTTTCTATCCACAGTTGGTTGATTTCATGAATACAGAAACTATGGATACTATATGTTATATCTGTTCATCTTAGTGCGTGTGTTGTTTTTTTTTTACAGTGAATGTGTTTGGTCCATGACTCCCTATTGTTTAGCCCATGACCTCTGCACACATTCACACTACCTGAAACCCTTTAATTTAGTGACTGCCAGTGTGCTGCTCTCAATATCTCCCCACAAAATCTTGAGGGTGCTTAGTATACGTATTAAGAGGTTTTGAAATAGATTAAGATAAAACATGCTTCCTAGGGTTCAAGCAATTAATAGTAAAATTCCAGAACTGGCTTAGCCTGTACCTCTCAAACATCACCCTTTTATGTAGGAGAAAATCCAATAATAAAAATACTAACTCTTTACCAACTTTCCACTGATGGTAGTTCAAAATTATTCTTTAAATAGAGACAAATAAATAAAAAATGAAAAGAGATTATGATAGTTCTTTTGTAGTATTATATACATTTTGCAGAAATGTTCCCCAGATCTTTTATTTTCCAATATCATTTATTGCAAAACACACTGAACATAAATATTTTGTAGACAGCACTGGATAATCATTAATGTGATATCGCACAATGGTTGGTGTGGCAGCAGACATGGCTGTTAGGATTTAGAGGTTGGATGGACTCCCCAACACCCGGCAGTACCCTCCCTCTTGGATTCCTGAAGAGTATGTTTAACTTCAGTAGTATAAACCAAGCAGTTGACATTTTTCTTCTATCTCTCTAAGGGTTCACATGTTCTCTTGTCCCTTTGGAGTTCCTCTATTTTCTTGCCTGTTTTTCCAGTTGACTGACCCTGCTTACCAATTTGCATGCTCAAAACTAATCTTGCTGTATCAGGCTACCACATGGCCCGTCTCCTTTGCCTGTGTGACCATGCTCAGATAATCAGGGTCAGCTAACCCAGCCCCTGTGACCTTGTCCTACCTTCTGAGGAGCAGCAGTATGACTAGCCCATTTTGGCGTAGTGGCCAGCTTTGGTGCAATAAGCTGTGGCAGCAGATGGGGCTCCCTGTGGGGAACTGGCACCAACAGAGATGGGGTGTGTACACAGAGGGATATTGTTACTTTGATGTGGCTTCATGATGCTCTGGCATTTCTGCTTGCATACTTCATACATATTGCCCATTTAGGATCAAAACAAGTACTTGATTTCCCCATAGTCTATTTTCTTAAACCCACTTCCTCTAGGTTATTTTGTTTATGTTGTTGTTGTTTCTCAACTTAATAAATAGTACAAACCATTTATTTAGTACTCAGCCCCAAAATCTAGAAGTTATCAACTTTGACTCCTTTTTCTCTACCTCAAATATAATCCAGCAATAATTCTCAATGTTTCTTTCCAAATGCATCTGGAGTATGCCAGAGGCTTTTCCTCTCCACATCTACTACTGAGGCTAATCTACCCCCACCAATATTATCTCTTCCTGCATTCCTGTAAGAACTTCCCAGGTGGTCCCCTTATTTCCACCCTTACCCATGACCTATTTTCTACACAGGGACTGGAGTAGTCATCTTACATCATAATCCAATTGCATCAAGTCCTCTTCAAATTCTCCAATAGCTTCCCATTGCATCCACAATAAAATAACAATTATAATATAGCAATATATTATCTCATATAATAGCAATGAATATAATAAGATTAAAAGATAACTTTCTATATGAACTCATTTTGTCCTCAAAGCAAACTTATGGGGTGAATTCCCTTGTTATCTCCACATTAATAAGAAAAATGTTGCTATGGGAGGGTTTAAGTCAGTGATGGTGAACCTTTTAGAGATGAATGCCCGAACTGCAGACCCAAACCCACTTTTTTATAACCAAGTGCCAACACAACAATTAAACCAGAATACTGAAATTTTAGTTTAAATAAAACAACTCATACTAATGTGTGAGTTTCTTTTGTCTTAAAAGAAAAATCAATAACATGAATGCCATAGGTTTGCCACCACTGGATTAAGTCATCCATCCACATTCCAGATTTAGGAAGTGGTGGCTTCATACCAGGTAGGGTGTGACCCTCAAAGTCATTATCTAGTTTGGAGTTCATAAACCACTGTACTGTCAAAAAAATGCAAACTTTTACCAGAAGTTGTTATAACCCTGACACCTGCCCGCTGCTTACCTCTCTGACCCTACTGACCTGTGTAACCTCACCCCCTCCCCTCCCTTCTTGTGGTACTTCATTTCCACTACTCCTCACAAGCACCAGCCAGCGTTGCTCTTGACTCAGGGCTGCCCTTGTTGCTCCTGACTCTGAAATAATCTTCCCAGTGTTGTCCTGAAATGCTCCTGGAGTCCCCCCAGGGAGTCCACAATGTCAAGCTCCCTTCCTGGATACCCCTCCCCTGTCAACCTCTCCAAAATACTGCCCCATTCTGTGAGCCCTAAACTAGATTTTTTTTTTTTTGCTTTATTTGAATCTACTTCTTTGTTACTTGACTTCTCTGAAGTGGCAGAATCTCTCTCCTTCTGTGTGTGTCTGTAGCACCAAGAATAGTGCTCAACATATGGGCTACCAATCTATAGTTCAGGGTAAATGAGTATATGCTTTCTTTAAGTTTTCTGCAAATCTCAAGTTTGTTGACTCAGTGACCTCATAACTTTTTTCACCTTCAGAACTATTTTGCTCGCAACTTTTACAACATGAGAATGTTGGCCTTATTTGTCGCGTTTGCAATCAATTTCATCTTGCTCTTTTATAAGGTGAGTACATTTCAGTGTCTCGACTAACAGTAGAAAAATACAAATAGACCGAGGCGAATATACACATTTCTCAGATCTACTAATGAGCTCATCTAAACCTATTCTAAGATGTATTTTAATGAAAGAAAAAACTGAAGCCCAGGTACATCGTTGATACCCCAGGAAGGCAGAATGGATTTTCTCTTTCAAAATGAGTGAGAAATACCTCAGATGCAGAGTGTTGGATTTGGCTGAGGGTTTCTCCACAGTGGCCCCAGTCTAATTCAGCCAAATACCTTACTTGTTAATCTATCTTAGTATGACATAACCCGTGTTAAGTTCTTCTGATAATCAAGATGTCAGCCATCTAATTTTTTCCTACATGTGTGGGAATCCATATAATTCATTTGGATTAGAATGGCATATTTATGAGCTGCCTTTGATGCTTAAAAAGCTGCCTTCCTAGCCTTTGTTCTTAGTCTTTTCATTAAGGAATGACTTCACATCCAGCTCTTTGCTAAAAAGCTGTGTTTTCCTTATTTTTTGTTTGTGATGATATCTTAGATGCAGAAACTGACTATCCTTTACATGTTTTGAATCAGGTCTCCACTTCTTCTGTGGTTGAAGGAAAGGAGCTGCCCACCCGAAGCTCCAGCGAAAGTGCCAAGGTGACCACCAGCCTGGACAGCAGCTCACATAGAATCATTGCAGTTCACTATGTGCTGGAGGAGAGCAGTGGCTACATGGAGCCTACCTTGCGTATCTTAGCCATTCTCCATACTGTCATTTCTTTCTTCTGCATCATTGGATACTACTGTTTGAAAGTAAGATAGTAAGGCACCAAAGTACCTGTTTGCATCTGTGTGTGAGTGAGTGTGTGTGTGTGTGTGTATGTGTGTGTTGGAGATCAGACTTTCAGGGAAGCTGATTCTGAAATGGAAATTATGCACATGAATTTTATTTGGAAATGTCCCATGAATCCACAACTGGCAGGGCAAGGGGAAGAAGCAGGATGAAGTGGAGGGAAAAGCTGGACTATTTTACAGACAGCAAGGCATGGTTATGGGCTTTCATCTCTGAAGCTGAGATGCCCTTTTGTAGTTGTCCTGCCAGTGTATCTACATTGGCTAGCCATTGGCTGCAGGCTGTGCTAGGAAGAGGATTTGTATTGCAGCTTTCTTTCATCTATTGATAATCATTCACACAATGGACAGTTTCACCCATAACTTGACCCCCCAGAAATGAGTTCACCTACCCACTATGTCTCATAGCAATGCTCCTGTATGTTGGGACTTACAGAAACAGCTATGAGTCATTTTGATCCGTTACTAGGTAAGTATCTAGTCTTATGCTTGGCAGAAATGCTTTATGGTTTGTGACACTTCACCCAGAAAATAATACAGCTTTATCTCTAAAGCTTTGCCAAGAGAACAATAAAATCTGGTGAATAGAATTCAAGATAATCTCTTGGAGTACTTACAGCTGCACATTACTTGTGCAAACCTGTTTATCTTTTCCTAGCAAGCCTCCCTGTCATGTGGTGCCTTTATTTTTCTGTCCTTTGCCTCTGGTGGTGAAGGTTCCAAAAATTTTTTGAGAAATTGGGGCCCAGGATAAAAGGCTAGAGTGTCAAGTGTCTTTTCAAGAAATTTACCTCCCTTTTCCTCCCCTTGTCTTATGGGGTAAAGATTCTTGGGAGCTTCCAGAATGCCTGCATCTCCTATTTGTATGTGCCTTTGTACAGTGGTCTACATGAAAAGAGAATCGATAGGTCCTGGAGACAGCTTGGCAAGCTGACAAAAATTTTTGCTGATGTGGAAATTAAATTTTTTTTCCAAATAGTGTGTGTGGACCTGCTGAGCATGGAATTGTTAAAGAAATTTTTTTCTAGTAAAAATGTATTTTATTTAGTAACACACATTTTGGAACATTAATAAGATTGCTAAATTTTTTATGTTTATCCACATTGATAATATATTATTTATATACTTATGACAATTTTGTATAATCATATTTTTTCTCTTTAGTATTTAGTATGGTGTCATCAATGCAATTATTTATGAACTTCCTATGTATTTAAACATAAGCATATGTAATATTTCTTCTGTCTTCTAGTTATCCAAAACATTTGAGATACTACTTTCTGTCTCAGTGTAGCTCATTCATTTTTACTCAATTTTTACCTTCCTGGAAGTACATGGGAACTATTTCTTTCCGAAAGCTGTTTTTGAAAAGATGGTGACCAAAGGAGATGCCATTAAGTCTAAACTAATTTTCACATGTTTATTTTTCATTTGCAGGTCCCATTGGTTATTTTCAAGCGAGAAAAGGAAGTAGCACGAAAATTGGAATTTGATGGGCTCTATATTACAGAGCAGCCTTCAGAAGATGATATTAAAGGCCAATGGGATAGACTCGTAATCAATACACAGTGAGTGATGAAGTATAAGAGACATTTCTGTGCTCAAAATTTTCAAGATTTAAAAGCGCTTTGCTGAAGTTCCAGCAGATTTGTCCAAAGTTTAGCACAAATGAACACGAATTAGATATTCAGCCAAGAAATTCTAGAGTAGACACCATCAGCCTCCTCCTAATGGATGCCCTCAATTTTTGTCCTCTCTGTTCTTAAATTCCTTATTCAAAATGGGCTCTGAGGCTATTTCTATGGCAATGGCTTCAACTCCATTGCTTAGTGTTCAGGAAAGTGTGTAGCAGGAGGGACGAAACCTGCAGTGCAATGTTAATCTCATCTCAAAACAGAGGAAGCCAGAATTAATCATTAAGGAAAGAACTGCAGCATTAAAGGCAGAAATATTAAATTTCACACTTTTATGTGTCTGAGTTCTAAACTTTTAGTTGGTACTATTAGGCACCTAGTAAGTGTTATAACATGTTATAAAATATACTACAGAGGAACAGAAACTTTCTGTCCAATGATTATTTAGCCTTGTGAGTTCAAGATCCAGACTCTTAGGTGCTGTTTCAGGCATAAATCCATCACACCACGTAATTTTCCATCATAAAAAGATTAATGGTACAATCGCTTTTGAGTAGTTTATATTATTCAAGAGTAAAATATCTTCCATTGATTGTGATTAGCTTGGATTATTATTTAAAAAGTTATAATTGGGCCAGGGATGTAGCTCAGTGGCACTGCGCCTGCCTTTCAAGTGCAAGGTTCTGAGTTCAATCCCTGGTACCAAAAGAAAATATTATAATTGCTAGTAGGTTCTGAGTTTTCCAATGGTACTAATTTATTTATAATATATATATATATTTACTCTAAATGCTAAATGTTTTTTTAGCAATAGCATTAATACTAACTCTAATAAAGTTGATCCCTTTTAGTAAATTCTGTATTTAATCAAGGTACCAGAGTCAAAGATTAGTGCTATGCTGAAAGTTTCTTTGTGGATAATTGGTGGGAATAAGACTTTTTTATTTCCATAGAAAAACAATGATTAATTTCTAGATATTTTAATTTTTAAAGACAGTTGGTTAATTTGTGTGTTGATGTTATAAACAAATGACAAATATAATATAATACTTGTTAATAAATATGATTGTTATTCTCCATTAAAGTAACAACCCATAACTGTAATGTGATTTATATTATATGTGTTTGTATATTAATATTTAAAATAATATTTAATGTAAATATCATGTCATGACATTGAAAAATTAAGCAGTAAGATGATAACTTAGTTCATCGTACTTTTATGTGGATGGCAATGTATATGTTTACATGTTATTTCAAGTATTTTATTTATTTCAAAATTATGTTATTTACCATTTTAAAGAGTAATATTTTACTTCTCTGGCTTTGTATCTTTTAGGTCATTTCCCAACAACTACTGGGATAAATTTGTTAAAAGAAAGGTAATCATTCTTGGAATCAGTTTTGTATTTTTCTCTTACAGTGCAATTCTAATTTGAGTTTGATGTGGTTTAGATATGGAGTGAGATATTGAGGGGTTCTTTATCTGCCTGCTAATGTTATTTCCAAGTGACAATAGCACTGAATATCAGTTTTAAGAATAGCACATAAGAAATTCATACTCTGTAGCTCCAAAATAAATAAGCATTCCTTCATCCACCCATCTTCTGATTCATCTGAATCAACAGTGCTCAGTGCATAACAGTAACAAGGCTTAGTAAGGATTTTCTTTGAAATTGTCTAGGTTGTCTAAGTTGACTAAAGGCTATTTTTACTTTTTTTATAGCTTTGGAGATTTTTTAAAACAAGGTCTTATCCTTCTGTTTCTGGCTACATTGGAGTGTGGTAGTGAGGACACTTGATTTGGCAATGACTGTGGTACCTACTATGGCTTGGATGTTGACCTTCTAACTCAAGGGTCAGGGGTCACTTCTGTGACATCCCGTTTTTTGGGGGGTTGAAATACATGTATCACAGTGCTTGTACACTGCAGCTGATGTTTTGCAGCTATTTACTTATACTTTGAACTTTCCTAATTGCCAGAAGGACTCAGGCAGCACACTATTTCAGAGTGAATTCTAGCTCCTCTGTGTACCATGTAGAGCAAATGTCCAGGTATGCCCAGTGGACGAAGTGGTCATTTTCCTTTGCTTCCACTAATCCTGTGCTGCTCAAAGGGTGGTTGACAACTAGAAGTAACAGGAAGACAGAGGTGGATGGTGACAAACTTGCAGGTCTGGGAGTTCTTGAAGGATTGCTGAAGTCAGAGAACCAAAGGGAGTGAAGTGGATAGAGACTTTGGTTATAGAGTTGAGTGGCTGAAATCGAGACCAGGAAGGGGATGCCATTCCTATGATGTCCAGCTTGGTGGCATGCAAGGACTATGTAGGACACCATTGGCTGGGAGTTTGGCTTTGCCTGGATGCTGCTGTCCTCATCTCTTTCTAAGTGTAGCTTCTTTTTAGGCATGTTATGTTAAGTTGTAGGAGAGTTTCTTTATCCACAAAAGTTGATGCTAATAATATCCAATTTGCATATTTTGACAGTCATGTGAAATAAAGGCTAGAACTCACATGTGACAGTCTCATGAAATAAAGCAAAATCCCTGGCACAGAATACAAATTTAGTGATGGTCATTTGGGTTCCATTTCCTTCCACTTCTTACCCTTTTACTGCAGTCTTTCATCTTCCTTGTGTGTGCCTCCCACCTGGGAAGGATAAATCTTATTCTTCAGATGGGTATTATTTAAAATGCTGTAATTCGATTAGCCCTTTAGCAGTATGATCCTGTAAGATGGCCTAAACTAGATTTTAAGTGATCTTTAAAATATAGCAAAGATGAAGTATTCAGATAATTAGGCTTGTACACACACATATATGATGTGACTTAATGGTTGATACCAATAAGCTGCTCTTTCCGTGCTCCAGGTGATGGATAAATATGGGGAGTTCTATGGTCGAGACAGAATCAGTGAGTTGCTGGGCATGGACAAAGCTGCCCTGGACTTCAGCGACGCCAGAGAGAAGAAGAAACCCAAGAAAGACAGCTCCCTGTCGGCTGTGTAAGTGCTGCTTCTGCTCCCTCCCAAAGACCACAGGATGAGGGAGGAGGAAAAAAATCAGTGCATTTATGAACTTGTAGGTGCATCCATTTCCTGTACTTCATTGTCAGAGGAAGAGACAGATCAGGAAAACAGAGTGTGTGGTGACACACACCTGTAATCCCAGCATTCTGGGAGGCTGAAACAGGAAGATCACAAATTGGAGCCCAGCCTAGGCAACTTATCAATACCGTGTCTCAAAATTAAATAAGTAAGTAAGTAAAAAGTCTGATTTAACTCAGAGCAAAGACTCTGGATTCAATCTGCAGTACTAAAAAAGAAAGTCAATTTCCACATTTCTGGCTATTTGGGTTGATGAAATGATTGGATTTTTTCTATTAATTTTTGAAAAGGTCTTTTTGTTATTTGTACAGAACACAGGGGAAAAATAATATTCTTATTCTCAATTAAAATTGCCTTTTCTACCCTTAAATGCCCTATATAATCACATAAAACATGCAAAAGTACAACATATAAATTTGTTTTCTGTTCCTTCTTGTTTGAAATGATGTTGATTTTTATGTTATAGAAACAGAAATCATGCATAACTTTTATTAAAATATTCAAAGTCCATATACTTTTGTTATAATTACTGTATTCTTTTAAAAAGTAGACAAGGCTTACTGTGCCACAAATACTATACTATCCAAACTCTTACTTGCAAAGTTTACTTCAAAATGAAATACTCTTTACATAGTACTTGCATGGAATGGTGTTATAACTAGAAGCATGTAAACCAATTGGATTGGATTCTTCTAAGATTGAAGCTGTGATCTGTGTCTCTAGCTCCTTCTCCCTCCCCCCACCCCCCCTTCTCTGACTGTCTCTCTTTGTCTCTGTCTCTCTCTTACACACATCAATATATGTGGTATGAGTATACATATACACCTATTAGGCATATGCAGATACATATTTAGCATATGTATACATCTGTATCTATTTAGCACATTTGATCAACTAAATTTCTGGAATAAAAGCAAAATATACATAATTTCAAAATGCAGTTTCTTACTGAGGCCACTTAATGATTTTGGAAGAGGCAAAAGGGAATTTGCTTTCCCATAAAATCATGTCAAACTGATGGGTATAGTAGCACACACCTGTAATCCCAGGTACTCAAGAGGCTGAGGCAGGAGGATTGCAGGTTCAAGGCCAGCCTGGGCAACTTTGTGAAACTGTGTCTCAAACTCCAAAGGACTGAGGATGTAGCTCAGCACTTTATACTTTCTGGGTTTAATCCCCAGTACTGCAAAAAAAAAAAAAAAAAAAAAGCAACAATAACAGTAGTAACAAAAGCTAGCCCTCCCAAAACCTCAGCCCTTTTTCTTCTGTTTTTTTTCTGTACTGGGAATTGATCCCAGGGTATCATTCATGCTAGGTAAGCGCACTATCATTGAGCTGTATCCTCAGCCTTTTGCCTTTCTTGTCTGTGTATTTATGGTCCCAGAAATGTGATGATTGCTTTGAAACAGGTATTTATGGCTCTATTGAAAAATGTTGCCTTGTCTTAGGGAAGTATTTTAACTGGCCATAACAGATATTTTGGCTGCCCTGTATCACTGGTTGTATGCTTTATTCATCTATATAAATATTGTGAACTCAGTTGAAAAGTAGATAGATATGCAAATATACATCAGAAACTATGAATTTAGATCCTGAATATTACTTGAATACTTGAGGAAGACAACTGTGTCACTGTATGTAAGATGAAGCATGAATTGATAGCACTTGGGAAGCAAGGCCTGTATGTTAGACTGACACCCACAACGAAAATTGTGATGTGCGTGATACGGAATATCCCCAGATCCTTGATAAGTGACAGAGAATTAAATAGTTTTACTGAATTATGCATTTTCCGTGGTCACTTTTGTGACTCCAGAAAATAAGATTGAAAAAAATAGAGAAAATTTAGTCCATCTTTACTATGATACTTTTAAAACTTGGTGAAATTCATTGGGCGTGGTGGCACATGCCTGTATTCCCAGCTACTCAGGAGGCTGAAGCAAGCCTAGACAGTTAAGGCTAGCCTGGACAATTTAGCTGTCTCAAAATTTAAAAAGGGCTGGGGGAGCTGGGGATTGAGCTCAGTGGTGCCGCGCTTGCCTTGCAAGCATAAGGTCCTGAGTTCGATCCCTGGTGCCAAAAAATAAATAAATAAAAAAGGACTGGGTGTGTGGCTCCGTGGCAGTGGTCAGCCCCGGTTTCAATCTGAAGGAAAAGAAATGGTAAAATTCCCATAGTTTTACATAGTAAATATTTTCAAGTTTGACACCTAGCAAAGTATCAGGGAATTCTAATATGGCATTTATTAACGTTCAAATATGGACAATAAGGTTAGAATAAAAATCTAGTAAATGATATACATTGCTAGAAACAAGATTCCTATGGACTGTCTCTAAAGCATTTGGAAAGGTCAGGTTACCCAGGGTCTTCACACTGAGCTACATCCCCACCCCACCCACCCCATTTTTATTTGGGGAGGTGGGGGTGGAAAACAGGGATTTGTGAAGTTTCTGAGTTGTCCAGGCTGGACTCAAACTTATGATCCTCCTGTCTCAGCCTTCCAAAGTGCTGGTATTATGGGCATGCACCACCACACCTATCATAAATGCTGTTTTAAAGTAAACATTCAGACAAAAGGAGATTCATGTATTTATTTAATAGACAAATCCATGAAGCTTGGTATATATCCATTTAACGAAGTCGCTAGCTTTTTTCCTGGAGGTAGACTGCTTCAGTAGCCAGAAGGGCTTCGTGCTTCATGGCATCTTTATGGGGCAAAACCAGGAGCTCATATCTCAAAGCCATCTAGCAGAAGTCCCCAGCTTCTGGCTTATAGTTTACTCTTTAACCAAGGCCTGTGGCCAGAGGAAGCTGAGGCCTGATTGGCCAGGATCAGCCATGAGCCCACAAGGGTAGGTTCAGCTTGGCTGGCATGGCTACCACGGTTACTAGAAAAGAGTATTGTGTCCTACCAAAAGGAAATGGGGCGTAATGATAGTGGAAGCATACTGTCATCCTAACAGATGATTGAGATGAAAAATAATCATAAAAGTTATTTTCAAAGCAAACTACTATGCAAGATTCAGACACCTTGATATAAACTTTTATTTTGCTTTAAATTACTTTCATGGAAAATAATTCACTCTCATAGCATTTCTAACTCTTATTTATTTAAGAAAAATCATTTAAGAAAAATTATAAATACTCAAAATTTTTAAAGAGACAACTATAATAATAAAATTAATTATAGCTCAAAGACAATTTTATTTCTTAAAAATGTACAACTGGGAGTAGTGGTGTGTGCCTATACTTACAGCACTGGGGAGGTTGGGCTGGAGGATTTCTTGAGCCCACGAGTTCATACCAACCTGGCCAGCATAGTGAGAGCCCCCCATGTTAGGGGGTGATTTAAAGATGCAAAAATCCTGAGCTAAGGTAAAGGAAACTTCACCCTTCCAGGAAAAAGCTCCTAAAATGTCAGCTTTGATTAACAGCTACTTGTCCTGACACTTATAAATTAAGGTTATCCTAATAAAAGGAAATGATTAAAGAAATAATTAAAGACTGAAATATTAAGTCTAAAGGAGTCCTTTTGAAACTAACACTGCCCCATTATACCATATTGTATCCTTTCATATCTTAACATGTCAATTACCTAGAATCAAAATACTGAAAGGCTGACAAAATGATTATCATTTCTAACCCACAAATCAATGGCATGTCCTGACAAAAATGATGTATGAATCTTGAATCTGCAAAGGTTATGAATATTCACATTCAGTTTAATTCATTCAATGTATATTTATCGAGAGACATTTAATGTGTGATACAGTGCTTGTTGGTAGGGAGTTCACAGATCATGATGGAGACACACACTCACACACACACACACACACACACACATACAGTGGCACCAGCAGTCACAAAGAGGTTGAGCAATGGCAATGAAGGAAGTCTGTCCAAACCACGGAGGGAACCAGGGGCCATGGTTATGTTCTTCCCTGGTTAGAAACCTGAACAGAGAAGGTGAGGTTGTCCAAGACAAAAGCAAACAACAAAGTGAAAAAGTCTTCCGTATATAAAATAAGGGTAGTTGTAAAATAAATCGTGTATAATTGTTTGAACCAAAAAGTCATTCTGTTGAAATGCAATTACAAATACATAATGAAAACAAGTGAGGAAACTTCCGAATCACAAATGTTAGTTAATTTAGTACAGTTTCTACGAATAAGGGTCAATTATAAAGTGAGTTTAGCTAGTACTTAATGTAAGAAAAGACAGTGGAAAAGAAAGATGAAGATAAAGGGGGAGGTGTCTTTTGTTGTTTTACAACGTCCCTCTAAAACACAGCGTCGCAGAACCCTGGCATATGTCCTGAGAGGAGCACTCCTGGGAAGGCTTCCAGTCTTGCCCCTGTCCATGAGTGCATGTGGGCGGTCTCTCTCACAAGCTGATGAGTCTTTGATGGATGTGGAAATTTACACATTCTGCTTTTTATTTATTTATTTTTTTGTCATTCCAGACTGAACTCCATTGATGTGAAATATCAAATGTGGAAACTAGGAGTCGTTTTCACTGACAACGTAAGCCCCTTTTGTCACCACCACAGATGAGTCTGTAGCTGAAAGGACCAGTCTTTGAGGAAGTTATCCAAATAGCAGTGTGTTTAATGCAGACGCTTCCCTATGGATATCACTAATCAGCCCCATCCCTCATTCTGTCTCTTTAAAAAACCAAAAGGGTAAAGTGAAAATATATTTGTATAAGAAAAGGAAACTGAGATGCACATTCATGTGTATCTCCAGTCAGATTTTTTAACTGGGCAGAGACATACTTCAAAGGTATGTAGATGTTAAAAGAAACTCCTGAATAGATAAAAATCATTAATTGTGCTAACTTTAAGTTTCTCTCCAAATTAAGAACATTAAATTATTGTATTCCATTTTGTGAACGATCCTTCTTATTCAGAGAGCCTTTGGAAAGGAAGCCTGAGGCACAAGTATGTGTTGAAGTTGAAAAAGTGAAAAAAAATTGCTTCTTAACTAAAAGCCACCAGCTGTCTCAAGACTTCATTCTTTAATTTTACTGCTGACTTTCATAGTGGATGTTAGTTCCATTCTCCTATCTAAATACCTGCAACACTTCCAAGTTTTGCTTCCTCTATCCCCAACCCTGCCCTACGCCTTTGGGACCAGAACTTTGGGTATCATATAGAATCCTCTTGGAACTTGAAATCCTGTCTCCTAAGTATCTTTTAGAGCCATAATCTCTTATGATTAGTGGTACCTCAGTTCACGAACACTTTTGTTTGCGAACAGGTTGGTTCACAGACAGTTTTGACAAAATTTTGTTTTTGTTTGCGAACTCCACATCGGGTGACGAACATGACCATGGCCGTCTTTCCTGCACAAATACAAACGTGGCCATCTTTTCCAAAATCGTGGAACAAATTAAGTTCACAGAACAAATTAAGTTTGTGGACCAAGGAACCACTGTAATAGAAATCCTCTAGGTTAAAAAGGAGCAGCCCCAACTCGGGCTGTAGTTGGCATTCTCTGCTCAAGTAGCTATTACATCTGACGTCTCCATCTTCCATGCTACAGTCCTTTCATGGCCCACTTTTACCCAGGCAAGCCTGTCCATAATAATCACCTTGCTGTGGTCCCTTAGCAAATTGTGGCCTGGGTAGATGCTGAAGTCAGAAGCACCCTCTTCCAAACATCCTTCTGAGACATCAGGGTCTCATCCACCTGTCTGGCCAGTCACTTCTCCACATGTATTCAGTCCTCAGGAGTAAGATTTCTCTCCAAACAAAGTTAGGGCTACCCTACCAGATATAATAAAAGATTCCCAGTTACATTTCACATAACCCCAAAGAAAAAAAATTTAGCATAAGTATGTGCCCAATAGTGAATGGGACATGTTTAGGCTAAAAGTGATTTATTCATTATCTCTCATTCAGGTTTAAGTAGGCAGAATCCATGCATATGCTCTTGGCTCAGCTTATCTCTTATCTCATTCTATACCCTAAACTTGTCCTTTTCCCTCAACCTTTGCCTTTCTTAATAGCCTGCTAGTTACTTCCATCTCAGTGTACTGTGGCAAACTATCATCTTCCTTCTCGGCCCTTCTCTCCAACAAATCCAGTCCCTTAGCCACAGTTTTATCTTTCTGTTAGTATTTTTTATTCTTCTTGTTACCCAAGCTTAAACTATTAGCTTCGATACCATCTTTCCCCCCAATACCTGCCTGGGACCATTTGGTTACCTCATTTTGAACCTGTCTCTCTCCTTTTCAATCCTCCCTTCTGTCCTTGACAGTTTTGCTGCTTCTTGTGGCTCTTAGCCTCAACCTGGAGACAGTGCAGCAGTCTCCTAATTTAATGGCTCTGCCTCTTGCAATTTTTTTTAGACAGCAGCCTACCCTGAGTGAGCTCACTTTCCTCATTTGTAAATTGGACCTAAAGATGCCTCTCTGACAGGAATATGGTCAGAATAAAATGAGGAACTGTGTACACATATATGGAACAATGATTGCAGTTAGTAAGTGCTCAAGACAGTTTGCCGAAGTGCCCCTTCTCACAAACCACTCTCTTGCTCCCAATACTCTAGTGGCTCCCGAGAGCTGTCTCCTTTAACTTGAGCTTGAGGCCTTACAGTTTTTGCAGCCTGATCTTCCAAAATAAGAAGATTAGTACTAGTACTCAAGCCTACTCTTATGCTGGGGCAAACTCCACAGTCTTAACTCAGTGTCTTTTGGGTGCATTTGTGCATATGCATGCATGTGTGCAGTACTGGGAATTGAATGCAGGGCGTTTGCCCTGAGACACCTCCTTAGACCTTTTTATTTTTTGTTGTGAGATAGGGTCTTCCTATGTCACCAAATTTCCCAGGCTGGGCTCAAACCCTTGATCCTCCTGCCTCAGCCTCCAGAGTGCTGGGATTACAGGCATGTGGCACCATGCCCAGCTTCAATCTTTTTTTTAAATGCCACTTTCTTTTCTTACACCTGACCTTTAGCTCTGGTCCCACATTGCCCATAAAATATTTTGTACTACCAAGGACCCTCTTTCTTTTCTTCTTTGTTAAATATTAAAATATAGTTAGAACAAAGGTTTCCACTTCTTCCCATAATAAGCACTCCTGATCATACTGTCAGTATACTTTATGTAGAAAGAACTTTGTAATCCAAAATGTGAAAGCAGTCACAGGATTTTTATTCTATTTTATTTACTTCCCCCCAGTATATAAATTTTATAGCCTGTGTCCACATTAATTGTAATCTAGATTTCTACAAATAGTACCTATTGTGTTATTGGGTTTATTATAGCTTTTAATGACATCAAGAAGCATTTTGGTTTGTTTTAAACTTATTTTTGTTCATGTAAAGTGAAATATTTGGTTAATAAAACTCCCCATGTAATCTCTTATAACTTGTATGTCTGAAGAAATACTAAGTTAGGGGGTGAATAAGTGAAAAAGGAAGGAAAAGTTATTTGGTTCTTTGACTGACTGTAGACAAGGGATGCTCAACCATGGACGCTTTTGCCCCCATGTGATATTTGGCAATGTGTGGAGACATCTTTGGTTGACACAAGTGGATGCTAGCCATCCTGCCATGCCCAGGGCAGCCACTCCAGTAAAGAATTACCAGGTGGAAAGTATGAATTGTGGTGAGGTTGAGAAAGCCTGTCATCAAGTAATAAATCAATAATTTTTTCTTCATGTGATGATAAATAAAAAAAGTCATTCTTTTTAAAAGAGGAGAATAACATCAAACCTTTCCAAACAAACTAAGTAAAAATAAAATACACAAAGAACTAATATAGCCAGTTAGAATTATAAAGTTATAATTTAAGAACCTGCGGTAAATCAAGTCATTACAAGTTGAAGCCAGAAGAGCTTTTGACAGTAGTCATATGTTCTTTTTTCTCACACGACTATCCTCCTGTTTTGTCTTAACAGTCCTTCCTCTACCTAGCCTGGTATATGACTATGTCCGTTCTGGGACACTATAACAACTTTTTTTTTGCTGCTCATCTTCTTGACATTGCTATGGGATTCAAAACATTAAGAACCATCTTGTCTTCAGTAACTCACAATGGTAAACAGGTAAGTTTTTATCACTTTCTTTCCCTTTTGGAAACTAAAAAAGCAACAAATAAAGACAACAAAAATAAAAACAGTCCTTGACTGACCACATACAGCTTTTTTTTTCTTTTGCTTTTTTGTTTCTTGTTTGTTTTTTGTGGTGCTAGGGATCAAACTTGGCCTTGTGCAAGTTGGCAAGCACTCTATCACTGAGCTGTCTACGCTACATGACAGTCTAGTTTTAAAGACTTTTTCCAGGGTAGGTCGGCACCTTTGACCTTCTAAACCCATAGGATTAGTAGTTTTAGAGCCTCTTAGACCTTCTTTCAAGTCTTGGTTTGACCTAGTAGCTATATAATTTTGTACAAATTAATTAACATTTCCAAATTTGAATGCACTTATTATGCAAAATAAAATACTAAGATTCCTCATCACATTTTAGTCAAAATTAAATGGAAGCAAATGAAAAAGACTTTAGAACTGCACGTATGAAGCACTGAAGAAATGAATTGCTATTTTGTTCATAATACAGTGTTTGTTCTATTTGACAATATAGGAACCAAACTATGTTGCAGCATCCTTAGGCATTAGTTATATTAGTAATAAAGCCCAAGACGCTAAAATTTAACTTAACACGATGTGTTAAATTGGATATTCATGCACTCTTTTTCTCCACCTTTAAATTGTACAAAAAAAGATTTCATGCCTGATAAAGTCATCCTGACTTGGAAGAAAACAGCTCTAAATGCAGAGGATCAGCTTATATTCTGATGGAACTCAGTTGTTTTATGTTAAAACTGCCTGTCATTGTGAAACCCATTGCAGAAGTATATGTGTACTAGTTCATTTGCTATTTTTCAAGTGTCCACTGGGTGGTAACACGTTCTGTGTTAATTATTTGGATTAACAGAGGTTTTCTCTTCCAGGGTCTTCTAGCCCAGCACATTTTAAAATCTGTGCCCCTCCAAAAACTTGAGCCATTGCACTCCTAGTTTTATGACCCTTAGTGTACAGTTTCAGCAGGAGATTCTTTCATAGTCACTCTCAGTTCTGTTATGACTATGACATGCAGGTTGTGGACACAGTGACAAGTTTCCTAGGCCCGTCCAGTCAGTAAAGTATGTTTGATCTAGAACTGGAGATTCTGAGTCACTTGTGTATTTCTACACAAAACATCTGGCACTATTTCCAATCAATTTGTGAACTTTTGTGGGGATTATCCCTTATCCTTTTGAGGTAGCAAATTTTCATTTGCAGAAATATATAGAGCTGAATAGTCTTAAAAAGGAATATATATATATATATATATATATATATATATATATATATACATACACATATATACACATAAATCTACAGTGCTATTATACTTTGGGGATAGAAAAGAATTAAGCCCTTAAGCCTCTTCTATGATAACATGCATCTCAACATAACTGTGAACTGATTTTATGAAATATACATACATACATACACACATACATGGTCAAGAATGTGTGGGTATGTTGTCATCAGAGAAAGTACACATAAACATAATACACTATAGTCTGTATAGTAATATAACCAGAAATATATTTCCATCAACTTGGTAAAAGTCACATTGTTTTAACATACTGTGTCCTACCATAGCATACTTTAACATATACATATTCTACTAACTCACTCTTTCTTTCCTCTCTCTCTGGAATTAAAGAAAGATGATGCAGAATTGAAATGAGACCAAACTGTGGCATTTAATTATACATTGAGAAAATGTGCCTTTAAAATAGTGTTGGTCGTTTATGGTATTTTTCACTTTGATTGTTATATGTTTGCAAAGAAAGACTTCTCAGTTTCATATTTAGAACTATTTATATTATTCCTGTTGTGTTCCTGGATTTTAGAATTTCTTTTTAGTTCTAAAATGTGACTGGCAATAGTTTACAATCCCTGTTACTATTGTAACAAAAATAAAATGGATTTATTAGGTGTGTAAATTATTTACAGAAAATTATTTACAGCAAAAAAAAACCTTCATAAAAAAGACAAGATGTAATATATATCATCAAACATGTACAGATAAGAAAAATGAACATTTTAATCTGCTTACTGGTATTATCAATTTTATTTGGATGTGAAAGTAAATCATCATTTATTTACATGCCAGTTATGCAACACACTTATTAGTCAAGTAATCAAGTTTTGTATAAAATAGCCTGACAACTTGATAAAAAAAGAGAATCTGTCAATAAATTTCTCTTCTGGAAGGAGCTAAGAAACGTGAGAAATAATGAAGTTATGGATCTCATCCATTGCTAGTCAGTAAATTCAGCCACACTCTCACCAATGTGCTCCCCTTGAAATCAGGTGTCAAATATGCCAATCTTCTGTCCCATGTATTTCTAATACTTGTTCAATGTTACTTTCCAGCTCGTACTAACTGTTGGCCTATTAGCTGTTGTTGTATACCTGTACACTGTTGTGGCATTCAATTTTTTCCGAAAATTCTACAATAAAAGTGAAGATGGTGATACACCAGATATGAAATGTGACGATATGCTAACGGTGAGTTTATAACCTTTGACCTCAGATGAGTGAAAAAATTATCCCATTTCTTCAATCTAAGTAATTGGGTATTCTTCAGCAGTGCAGAATAGAAAATACTGGGCACAATAAAAATCTGAGTGGCTCTTTGAAGAATCTCCAATTTTCATTTTTTGCAGATTGTAGAAAAGACCATTTCTGTTAATTTTCCACATCTGCTGCCCAGCCTGGTAATTAGTAAAAAGGCTGAGAAACATAGTTAAAAGTAGAATGAACAATGTTATTCCTTTAACTTGTTGCTTATATATCCCAAGGTAGCAGATAAAATTATTTGTCAAAAAGCGTTTTGAATCATTAACTTATTGCTTGCCTTAGTAACTTTACCCAAAGTTATTAAAATCCAAAAATGAAGCTCTTAATAGAACCTCTACTTTGTGGTTTTATACTGAATATCTTGGCTTAAATTTTTTCTGGTCTTGTTTTTCAAAAATCAACAGATCTTCAAAATCTCAGATTGCTTTTATCATTGTTTTACAACCTGCCTGTCTGATAACACCACATCAGAAATTATCACATATGAGAGACTAGGTAGGGGTGGGAAAATTAGACAAAATGTGTAGTTAGCTATAAAGAGCTGGATCCTACAATGAGCTCTTCAGAGAAATACCTACGTAATTGGGGTTGTGGGTAGAAGTCAAGGGGGCTGCTGTAATAATATCAAAATTACTCTAGAAAAAAATAGGCATCCTGAAAGAGTGATAGGAGAGAACTACCAATATTATAAAGACTACTTTTTTTTGTCCTGGAGATTAATACATCAGCAGAAGAGAAATATAGAGTAAAACAGATGGAAATTAAAATGTGATAAACAAGTAACATTTTTGCAACTGTGACATGAAAAATAATTTAATAAATGGTATTGATATTGTGGACAAGCTGCCGGGGGAAAAGGACACAGATGGATACCAGCCTTGCTCTTTCAAGTAGTAACTATTAGGACATATTAGACTCCTGAATATAAGAATAATAATTTGTAAATGAGGAAATGTCTTTTAGAGTATGATATAAAACCTAGGATCTATGAAAATGTAAAAATTATCTTTAAAAAGAGCAACTACAAATGAAGTATTAAAGGAAAATGATAAATTGCCAAATATACATTACATTCAATATCATAAAAAACAAAGGACCAGTTTCCTTCATTTTTTTCATTATTATATCATTGAAATGAGAAAATTTTGAGAAAAATGGATACATGATCTATATGGCCAGAAACTTTATAATAAAACGAATTCAGTGGGCTAATACATATGAAAAGATGCTCAGCCTCTACCATAATGTGAGAAATGCAAAGCAATGAAAAAACATTTTCATTGTTAAAAAAAGTATTAAAGCCTGCTAATACCTATAGTTGTTAAATTGATGGGAAAACCAGCACTTTCTTGATGCTTACTAAGAATTTGAATTAATACAACAATTTTAGAGAAATTTTGCAATATCTATCAAATGTTTAAATATTCTTACTCTTTGACCTGTTAATTCTACTGCTAGTTACCAAAAGGTGTACTTACAAATATGCCCATCTTCAAGGACGTTAGCTATTCTCACAAATTGGAAATAATCTAAGTTCTCATCAGTAGAGTCCTGATTAAAATCTGTTAAAATATGCAGCTATTTTAAAATGATATGCTGATTTTAATTGCCTTTAAGTGTGTGTGTGTGTTTCAGGGGCAAGATTGTAAATAATATTATCAGATCGGAATAAGAACTCAAATCAGAGGAGAAAAAATGACGTATGCTTTTCATTTTTATACTTCTCTCCTGTCTGAACTATATTTTCTTTTTCATCACATGCCATGTTCTTTTATTTTTAGAAGCCTAAACCTTTTTTTCTTCATCATGCTGTAAAAGAGAGCTTAATTCAGTTCTTCTCAAAATTAGTGTACCTCCAGGCTGAGGCAGGAGGATCACAAGTTCAAGCTCAGCCTGGGTGACTTAGAAAAGGTCCTGTCTCAAAAAAGGGTGGGCAGTGGATATGTAAATTAGTGTGAAGGCCCTGGATTCAATTCCCAGTACTCGCCCCCCAAAATTTTTAATGTAACCATATATATGGATTATTTCCTATCCGGCATGAGGGGGCAGAACATGCAGTAACCTAATGTGGGCAATTAACAGGACATTCGTAATTTGCACATACAGTGATACCTCCATTGTCAAACTCAATTTGATCCAAACTCGTGTTCCGACACCAAAAAGTTTGAGAACTGAACATATTTTCCCCATAAGAAATAATGGAAAACCAAATAATTGGTTCTGAGGCCACAAAATTATACTTATAAGTTCATTTTGCCAAGACTTTAACACATTTCACAGTAATATCTTTCTTTAACTCTATTATGGTTCTCAGTTTTCCCTTAGCTTTATTGCTCACACCACTAACTTTCCTTGGAGCTGTGGTTATGATATTTTAGGCAAATAAAGAACAAAAAAAGAAAGCACAATGACAGATGTTGCAAGGCGCTAACACAAGCGCTGTATGTTGTCTGGGCCAGAGCTTCACTTAGATTGAAGCATCGCTGCTGCTCTCTGTCCATGCCTAGATACAGCCTGTGCAGGTTTTTTCAAGTCAGATTTTCAGTTTAACTAGCAAGCAAAGTTAGGAACACCAAACAGATTTTTTTTTCGAATTTTGCTGTTCAAGTGTTGTAAAGTTTGAGCTGCAGCCATTCGACAACTGAGATGTCACTGTATTTCATATCATTACTGTCTTGAAGCTGTTTTGTGTGTGACTTTATGATTTCTATATGCTGGTTACCTATTTGGAGAACACAGTGTGAGAGCTAAAAGAAATGTTATGGTCGTGCTCTTTCATCCACAGACTTACAGAGGAAATAACATCTCAGTTACAGGTTCATAATTTAGATCACTCATTTATTAATCAAGAACTTGTATAGCATTTGCAAGAAATAGTATTATTCCAGGTGTTTTCCTTAGTGCTTCACAAATATTAACTCATTTACTCTCCTAACAACTTCGAGCCGTAGGTAGCTGCCATTTACCCTCACTTTACAGATAAAGAAACTGAGCTGCTAATCATTCAAATAACTTGTTATAGACCACACATTATAAGGAAGAGGCCAAACTTTAACCAGAATTCTGTGCAGTGCTCCATCATGGATATCATCCAATTCAGTCTTGGGCTAACAATTTAGTGACATTTAGTAGCCAGGACCCATCGGAGGGAAGAATTCAGTAAGCACAGTCCCTGCCCTCAAAGAACTTGCATGTTAAAGATCTTTCTAGAAATCCTGATAAACCTCATTCCTTTACCTGGAAAAGAATGCCTCAGAAAGTCTAGGTGTTTTGGAAACATTATGGAACACCCAGTTTGTGGGTGGAAAGTAGAGGTGATTTCAGGTGGCAACCTTTGGTGATCTGTTAGATAGTAGGAGCCATCTGTGACCATGGTTCTACTTCACATGCTAGGGGGAGTCTTCTGCCACACCCTGTGGTCATATTTGATGCTATCGAAGTTGTAATCAGAGCATCCTTACACCACTGCATCATGACTCTTATGCTCAGTATGTGTTTTCATGACTTTGGTTAACTTTAGTTGTGAAGGCCTTCACTTGGTTGATGTTGCGCAGTTACATGGATTGTGGATCCCAAAGACAGAAATTTGTCTTACTTCTGGATCTGGAGAGAAGCCTCTTGATGATTTGATGGCTTACCTAGACTTTCTCATATTTGAGGGATTTCTGAGAGTATATATGAGTGAGACTCCTTGCCCAGCTCTGTTGTGGATTTTTATCTCTCTACACATAGCCATAAGCTTCCCATCTTGCCTTGGATTGGGGTGAGGTTAGGGATATCGTGAGAATGGAGGCCAGGCGTTTCCTCTCTGAAAGGGAAAACTCAGCTCCAAAATGCCAGTGTGTCCGGCTCTTAGCCCGCTCATGAGAACATGCTGCTACTGCCAGTAGGTGGAGCCAGCCAGGTGTCTGCAGATCTGTACAAGCTCAGAGCCAGGTAACTGTCCCAAGGAGGCCACATTACCTAGGTTAACCTTAACAAGCTTAGGGCCCAAGCACCCTCTGTTTACTGGTTTCTCACTTATACACGTATATCAGCTTCTATAAAAAAGCCAATGCAACCTGAAATACACTTGATCACTTCCTTGTCATGCCCTTTCAAAGCAGAAGCAGACTGTACAATGTACAAGGCAGCCAGCAATAGAGAAGCCTGCAACAGGAATAGCCTGATTTAACAACTGTACTTTAGTACTCCAGAGGGAATCCTCTGTGACAGTCCCTTTATCGGCATAGGGTGAAGTCTGCATTGTATATGAATTCTAGATTCCTCTTTTCCCCTGTGTCCCCAGCCTCCACTGTTCAGCCTGTGTCCCAGAAACATTTTCAGGACTTCATCTTCAGCTCCCACGGTTTACAGCAGGTGGCGCTGTCGCTGCATATTTACACAAGGATTTACATGACCCCCCCCCGCCCCCGCACCCGCATTATGGTGTTTTGAGTCTGAAAATCTAATTAAACCAGCAGTGTCCTGATAGAATTTGAACCTCCTCTCCAAGAATATGGGAGGATAAAGTGAAAAATGATCTACATTCCAGGGTAAAAAGATCCTTGTAGCTAGGTAGCTGTGGAAACTGACTTGGACATACATAGGGATATCATACATTGGCCAGGAATCCCTGGAGCAGTTCCATAAACCCACAGAGCTGGTGGCTCAGCCAGACCCCTGAAGAGAGGCACAGGGAGGCTCCGAGGCCTGTGTGCTTTGGAAAAGGCTCTTCAGGTAATGGAGGCAAGGAGTATGCTCCCGAGATTATAACGGCATGGTAGTTGTTCTATACTACCTCCCTTCCTTGCACTCCCTCATTTTCACAGACTGTCCCAACAAGTAATCCATCTCTTTAATTCTCTCTAGTTTTTCTCTTTTCCTCTCTAAGAGAGAGGGGCAAAAGAAAGACCTTCACCAACCCATCAGAAACTGTCCCTGGTTGT